GTGAATCTTGAGGCTTCTCTAAGGATATTTTGTTTTAAGACATGCAACTGTCTGGAGGAAAAAATAAGTATTAGTTTTTAGAAAAATTATCCAGATAAAATAAAAATATTTGTTTAAAAATTAATTTGGTTTAAGGACTACCAAAATTTACCTATCTCTGTCCTTTCTTAATTTCAGACTGCACTGTCAGCTTTTTTCAAGTGTCTGCTACTTTCATTTAAGCAACCAGTAACAATGGCAAATAAAACATCCTGCTGTTGATTTACTAATTGCCTCCAGATGAAAGGCAGGAATTATAGATCCAGAAATTGTGTTCCAGCCCTCTCCTCCTCCTCTGAGGTAACTGAGGGAATGCACATACATTGAGATGGGTGTGTATCTGAGGTAGCGCTAACATGCCAAGAGATTAAATTTTTGCTTCAAAAGTCAGATGCAAATAAAAATGTTTACTGTGTAAGCTGCTCACTCATCATAATTCAACTCCTTGTGACTCAGACCATAATTCTAGTGACCAAAAAGAGTACTACAGAGGTGGAAAGACCATAGACTTCTAAAGGTTGTCAACTCCAAATAGGCAGGGGAGAGTCTGCAGTGTGCATTTTCCTGTGTTAGAATACAGTGCTGAGGTCTGGGTGCTACTTTGTGCTAAAGCTGCCTGGGCTCTGCTGGCCATCCTCCTTGTTTTCACCTTCTGAACTACAACAAAAGGCAACACATCAAGCATGTTCCTAATCTTCCCCATTAATACAAGTATTGTCATTATCACAGGCATCCTGTGTTGTATTTGCAGGAACCCTCATGGCAGGGAGGAATGATGAATCTGACTCCATGTTCTCAGAAGGCTAATTTATTATTTTATTATATTAAAGAATACTAAAGTATACTATACTAGAGAATGCAGAAAAGATACTTACAGAAGGCTAAAAAGATAATAATGAAACTTGTGACTCTCTCCAGAGTCCAACACAGCTTGGCCATAATTGGCCAATAAGTCAAAACAGCTCACATGAAACCAATGAAACAATCACCTGTGGGTAAACAATCTCCAAACACATTCCAGAGGAGCAAGAAACAGGAGAAGCAAATGAGACAAAATTGTTTTCCTTTTCTCTGAGGCTTCTCAGCTTCCCAGGAGAAAAATCCTGGGTGAAGGAATTTTTCCAGAGAACGTGAATGCCACGATCCTGTGCAAGTATTGGTGGAGCTGAAGGTGATTCATGTGGCTAAGGAAGAGAGGAGGGCTATGGCATAATCTGTCTCCTCGCAGAGGCGGGTGTCTTGTTGAAAAAGCTCACAAATCACCACTTTAACTGACTGCCAGGTTTCTTTTCCCAGCTCCTCCCCGCTCCACAGCCCAGGATGAGATCCATGGTGTTTGTGACAAATTTCTGAGTCACAGCTTGCTGACCAGCTTCAGAAGTTGGAGGAGTTAGGATTAAAATTGGCTGTGTTGGAGATTCTTGGTGCTGAAAAGGCACACCTGAGGAGAACATCAACTGACCAACGTGTCTTGTCATATCCTTTGAAACTTTTGCTGATTATCCCCATTTTAAATCAAAGCTACTGAATTGTTCTCCAAAGTCTGATTTTGTGTGTGTGTGTGTCACATGAGAAGGAAAATTCAAGCCCTTTTCTTGGAAGAGGACTCAGTAATGACTGGATCATGCAAGGGATACTTAGATCTTCCCAGCAACTGTCCAATATTATTTTCATATTAAATCAGTGAGCATATTCCAAGGAGAGATAAAGGGTTTGGAGGGTAAAAGCCCTGTGAGAAGCAGTTGAGGGAGCTGGGAGTGTTCAGCCCGGAGAAGAGGAGGCTCAGGGGAGACCTTACCACTCTAGAACTGCCTGACAGGAGGCTGGAGCCAGCTGGGGATCGGCCTCTCATCCCGGGCAGCCAGGGACAGGATGGGAGAAATGGCTGAAGTTGTGCCATGAGAGGTTCAGATTGGATGTTAGGAAAAATTTCATCACAAAAAGGGTTGTAAAACACAGGAACAGACTGCCCAGGGAAATGGTGGAGACACCATCCCTGGAAGAGTTAAAAAATATATAGATGTGGTACTTGAGGACATGGTTTTAGGGTGAAAATGGTGGTGGTGCTGGTTGGACTCGATGATCTTAAAACTCTTTTCCAGTCTTAGGAATTTCATGATTCCTGTAGGCAAAGTATTCATGGCATGCAGTTGATTTTTTTTATCTGCAGTGGTACTGCCATCAGCATATTTTTAGCTACCTTGCCTTAGCATATCTTTCCTTCTACTTTGTTATCATAAACTTTTTTACGTGTTTTGTGCAATCTCTCTCATTCTTTCATTGGAAGAGGCATAGTTAACATATTTGGCTCATAATTTGTCAAGGCCAGGTAAGAATTTTTGTTCTTTAATGCTGGATCTTCTGAAGTAACAACTTTATAGGAAATCCTGCAAATTCAGCCTTTTAGACCTGTGCAACCACATGACCAGTGTTTATTTATTGTCTGGGAGTTCTTAGAGGAATCTGTGATCTCGTGTCTTTTGTGCTGTGGGTCCTGTATTCAATTGCTGCTGGTACATGTGACATCTTGCTCAGTTTCCTCTCAGTCCTGGCTCTCACAACTGCAGAATGCTCTCCAACCATCCACAGATGGCCTTGGTTCATGTTACACTGTTTTATCTTGTCTTTATACGTGCCGCAAAGAATTACCGAGGCTCGAACAACTGCTGTACGTCAATCAGACACTTTTATTTAGCAGGTCGTTTTTCTGTCTACTGTACCTTCCTGTGCTTATCTGGGGCCTTTCTGGCTGACCTCACACCTGCATGTTTAGAGCCTTTTCTGTGAGGTCTTGAACCCTAGTAGTACTGGTCAAAAACGTGTGACAAAAGTATATTTTGAGAAGGGTTAACACGTTCATCTTTCGATGATGAGTGCTGGTAAGTGAGGTGTGGAGTGAGCACCTGCACATTCTGTTTTCAGTGTCCCTGTTGGCCCCTTAAACAGGCAAAAAAGACCAAGATTACTGAATTTATAGGTGATTTTAGTTAAGGGCCTTGCAGCTACGCTTAAGGACATGGTTAAAACACAAGAGCCAGATGTATAGGAAAGAGCATAAATAGTAGAATGCAAGTCAGCACTGACTTCTCAAAGTTATACATTTAAGCAGAAATAGAGTAAAAGCAGAACGAAGAACAGGATGGCAGCTAAATAAAAGCATTTTAAAAGGATCTGGAAGTTATAGGTCCTAGTCTGAAAATATGTTAATTTTACTGTATGTTTAATATGGAAATAAATATGGCCCAGGAGTCTGTGAAAAGGTTTTACCACTCAAGCCAGTTTCAGCTGGAGTCCTGTGTCTCCTCTTAAGCCCTTAATTTCAGAAGAAGCTGAGAAATAGTTGATGGTAAGGAGCCAAAAGAAAGCCACAAAACAAATCTTGAAAAATTTACCTATGAAGATAAGACAGAAAAATTCATATTTTCTTTCACAGCATGAGGAGGACCTGCTAATTAGAGATGTAGAGATAATCTTCAAATACGCCAAAAAAAAAAATCTCTGAAGTGAATGGAAGGACCTATTTTTTAATTTATGGTGGTATGATAACCATGAAGTTCATGAGGTTATTCAGATTAGGCAAGAAGAAAAATGCTCTAACGATGGGTAGGTAAGAAGTAGATGGAGAAGCTGTGAGTTCCATCTCTGGAATTCTTTAGAAGAAGACAAAACAAGAATATTGCAAACAATCATTGGCCCTAGGATGGAATAGTGAACCAGAAGATCTCTTCAGACATCCTTCAGCCCCTGTTTGTTGGTGCCATTATGATTCTCTCAATTTCTTTCAAAATAATCAGAGACAAGGGTGCTTGGTTTCTTTCAGCTTACAAAGGTGCCACACTTGTATCTCGTACCACATTTATATCTAGTCCAGCACTTTATGTTTTGAAAACTGTCTTTTGATTGGATAAAAATTTGATTTCTCAATTTGAGTTAACTAGCACCATTTTTATTTTCAGCATTTGTTTTAGGTTTGGGCCTGTTGGCCTCAGTATAGATTAAGAAGCCATAAATATATTTAATTAAAAAAAAAAAAACTGTTCACAAATGTTCAGTTGAAAAAGAAAGGGCAGTAGGGGAGGAGGATTATAATTCTCTTGGTGCCATTGTGCAAGTAACTATAAATGAGCAGTCAGCTGCAGTTGAAGGGAGCTCCTTGGATTCCTGTGTTAGCTGAAAATCCAGGCTGAGTGTTGTGTTCCCTGGCAGAAATGCAGTGCCTGCAGTGGAGCTGGGAAGTCAACCTCTGGGGGCTCAGGTTACTTTTGATGCTCTGAGCAAACAGCTCCTTTCCCACAATGTTTCAGCATGCAGGATGAACAGAGGAGACTCTTCTAAACTTAAATAAATCCACTTTTTTTTTTTAAATGGTGGTGTTTCTATGTGAAGTATTAAAATTCATGGGAAATGGGGTATAATAGTTAAGAACAGGCCATGTTTTAGAAGCTTTTGGTTCCAAGAGCCTTTTAGAAGTCCGTAAGTAATTGGGTGGCTAGAGTAGTTCCTGATAAGAATGTGATCATTTAAATAAATTTTTAGTTGCTAACAAAAAACTTCTAATTTTCTTTCAATTATCTCTATAGCAATTTTTGCCACTTGAAAATAAATACAAGATTCATTATGGTGGAGAATAGATATTTCAAATTAAATGGGTTTTGCTTTGGTAAGATGGTATTTTCCACTGAAATTACAATTTTCTAGAAAATATCAGTCTATTCATTTACCACTCTTGAATGATGGAAATGAGAGATTATTCAAAATAGCTTTAAAAAAGGTACATTCTTAAAGTACATTAATTTTTAATGTACAATAAGTACAGACTTAATGCATATGAAATAAAGAGTTCTGGTCTATACACACATTTTTTCATTTTTTTGTCTTGTAAAAACTGCTTAATATACAATTTGTTTAACTGTTCCTTGAAACTTTAATTGTAAAAACTCACAGCACTTTTTTCCTCCCAGTCACAGGTGAACCATCATTCATCCAATAATGAAACTTATCAAGAAAGGCTGGCACGATTAGAAGGTGATAAAGAGTCGCTCATCCTGCAGGTAGGTCCAAAAGAGAGAAGAATTTTGTCTGCATAATTGATATCCAGTGCATAAAAGCTGAAGTGGCAGAGTATTTTCTGTTAAACAAATGTTAACAGGTCACCAAACATAGCTGATATTTAACAGGGAATTGATTTGTAATCTGTAGAATTCCTCTAAATGGTTTCATGGTGGGGTAACCTGGTAGAGGAGAGGGGTGTAACAGCAGTAAAAGTGGGGGGGGAGTGGCAAAGGGATTAAAAATATTTCTGTCCCAGGCTACTGCTGGGATGGTGGTTCTCATTCTAGGTTTGCTAGGTTGTGCCAGTTTTCTGAGTTGTCTGCCAGCATTTTTAATGAACCAGAATACAGGCAGGTAGATGGAATTGGTATTTTTCCTGTTTATATGCCGTACCAAAATTGTTTACATCTTCAAAAAGCTTAAGGGGGAGGGAAACAGGGATAGAGAAAATTTGACAGTAAAATGCATGCCTAAGCTCTTCCAGATTTCCTGTTTCTCAATTTACCAAGCCTTTTTTCAAACAGATCCCGTGTTCCATATAAGTTTTCCTCCTGGAGAAAACACATGTTGCACAACTTCAAAAAAATATTCTTTTTCTGTGTATTTTTGCTAGTACTGAACTGTACATTCCATGCTTTTTAAAACCTGAAGCTGGAGATAATTTAAATAGTCTTTGCATATCCTTTCTCAAATGCATATTATCAGCACATATTATTTATATCAAACAAAGCTGAAGTGTGTTGGGTAGGTGTTCTCCCTACTTTCAGTCACAAGTTTCTGTAAACATGTCTTATCCTGTATGTTCTGCTCACACTTGTGTTCATTTACTGAGCAGAACCCTTACTGCTGTTGTTAAATAAACAATAATGTTTTCAGACACAAGCTTTGGCTTGGTTGGAATTTTTTTTTTCATTACTGTTAAACTGAATTGCTCTTACCAAATTTAGGAAAAAAGAACCCCACCTGACTGAAAAACAATCTTCTGGTTGGAATTTAAGTGTGTGCTACAAATTCCCTTTACAACTGCTATTTATTAGAACACCTTTTATTAATCAAGTGGTTGTTAACACTAAAACCTTGATTCCATTAGTAAAAGCAAACAATTTCTCACACTGTACATTCATGTTTTGAGTGCACGAGCAGCTCATGAGAGGAGAGACAATTATGGGGCCAAACCCAGATGTTCCATCCAGAGCTGAGGGTGGCACTGGGGCACCTGTGAGGGTCTCCTTTGTTCCCCACATTTCTGTGCAGTCCTGTGACCTGTGCATCAGCCTTGGTGGCTCTGACAGGTCCCTGCAGACTGTCCCAGGCTGCTGCTCAGGATGTGCTTTTCTTCTCTCTGTCCTGCAGATTTTCAGTAACTATTTCTTCATCCACACAAACAGGTACCCAGGGAAGTAGCCAGCCAAATGCACAAAACACAGGGGTTTATGACACATTTTAGAACCTGTCTAGAGTTTTTCTTAGAAGGACTAGAGTAAAATCAGAACGAGAAAATGTCTCTCTCGCATTTTACTCCCATCACTTCCACCCCCCCATCAAACCCAAAGGCTTAGTCAATATTTATGCATTTTCTTTCCCACTGCACAGCGTTGCAGTGGAACTGCAAAACCCCCAGGCAGATAAGACAGACTAAAACCTCAGTCTGGAAGGTGAGCATCAACAACAACAAAGATGCCAAGGTGCAGCTGGGTTTAGGACCTGTTTTACACCAGCTCTTCTGTGCAGGCAGTCAATGTGAGGAGCACAGGCAAGCCCCAAGCTGAGGTTCCATGGCCTGAGGGACTCTGCTGGTGCAAACCTGGCTGCTGGGCGTGACCTTGGCAGGAGGGGTAAGAAAAGAAAGGGAACAGAGCACCTCTGTTCTGTGGCTCATGCTGAATTGCACCAATGCCTGGGCCATGGCTGTGATCTGGAGGGAATATGAGGCTGGGAGCACTCCAGCCTGGCCTCAGACTCTTAAACCTTTCTGACACTCCATTTTTAGCTAAGTGTTCAATGCCCCTCACTTTTAGAGAAAATATATTACCTGCAGGCTGAGTCTTGCAGGTGTCGCACTCCTAAGGCAAGATGGAATTTCCAGCTTAGCAGAAACTGGGATTTTGTTCTGGGTGCAGCCTACGGGTTCCTTGAAGAGTCTGGCAGATGTGATCCAGGACAGAGGGGAAAATATGAGCTCCAAGTGGCTGATGTGCCTCTCAGCCCAGCTGCTGGAACCCCCAACACATGCTTCTAAAGCTGCTCAGCTTTCACTAAATTCCTCTCCAGAGTTTCTTTCCAGGTTGCAGTGGTATTTAAACCTAACCTGAAGCTCTGGTTTTCTTTCTCTGGAACTTGCATCGCACTGAAGCAGAGAATTCAGTTTGTCTCTTCCTGCCTTCTGACCCCACACGGGGTTTTTTGTGTATCATCCCTCATTTAATAGGAGCAAAACAAAGTGGACAGGCAGCAGATTTCCTTGCAGGGGGTTCTCCTGCCCCAGCTCCAATGTGTCCCCCTGCCATCTGCCTCCACCCACCCCTTCCTATCACCTCCATACTGAGTTCAGCTGTACTCTAAGCTACAGACAGCTACTTTAATGGGAAAAAAATAGTATTTTCCTTTTCTTTTTTTTTTTTTTTCCTGTGATTTTTTTCCCAGGCACGCTTGGCATTGTATCAGCAGTAAAAAGCAATACAGAAGTCTCCCTGTGCAGCTTCCCTGAAGTGAACTCAATTGTTCATTGGGTTTTAGACATGCTGTGTAGTGGATAGATCTTAAAAGTTTCATTTCTACCTACTGCACATTTTTTATTTTGTTTTATTAATAAAGATGTTGCAGGGTTAGATGTGAGAGCATATATAAGTGTTTGTTAGTGCATTTTCTTCAAAATGGAGTTTAAACACCTTAGGTTCCTTTGTTTGTTTGTTTTAGATAACATTTTTTCTAGAATACTCAAGGCTTTTATATAAATAAATAGTTACAATGAATATACAGAGTGTATGGTCTCCTTAATATAAGAATTATCACTGGGTTTTTTTCCATATCTTTCTAACATTAGCCTGGGTGCAGTTTTTCTGCTTTGCAAGATTTGGGTTCAGGTGCTGGACTGTTTTTATTGCACACCCACTTCTCTGTGCCACCATTCCCACAGTTCTTTAGCAGGGCTGCTTATTGTTTCTTTTCCTGGGGTTCATTGTCTGTATCTCCCTGCTTTTGCTTTCATGTTTTGGCTTGCCAAAGCCTGTGATTCTCTGTTGGAATAGAACTTTGCCACAGCTAAAACTTGCCTTTCCCTCACTGCATTCTTCATAGCTTCAGAACTCTTTATTGATAGGTAAGCTATCAACAAAGTTTTGTTCTTGTAAGAAGTAAAGTAATTGGTTGGGTTGGGAATGAACAGTTTTCTTACTTGTCTGTTTTAGGGAGTGAAATGCCAACAGAACCCGAAATGGTGATGCATGCTCCAAAACCACTTAAAACACTTCCAGTATCCTCTGTTCTTGTTTGCTCCTCTCCAGTTTTCCAGACTTTTGCATGGAGGGACCCAGGCTACCAATAGGTAGCATTCCACCTCTCCTTGAAATGCCCTTTCTTTTTTATATGAAAACAAAACAGTTGCAGGGGAGGGGAGATGAGAGGGCGGGGTTGATGTGAAATAGAGGTAAGACTGCAAAACTTCTCTCTTGGTGGAGCAGGTTGCTGCAGTGCACAAGAATATTAAAGCATTGAGGGCTTTAAAAGGGAACTTCTTGTCAAAACGTGCATTTGGATGTTATATGCATAAGGTAATTGAAACTTATTTACAGTCAGTTCAGTAGCACTGTGCTTCTCCTCTCAAATTACAGGTGAGTGTTCTCACAGACCAGGTGGAAGCTCAAGGAGAGAAAATCCGGGACTTAGAAATCTGTCTTGAGGGGCATCAGTTGAAGCTGAATGCTACAGAAGAAATGCTCCAACAGGTAAAAATCAGGATTGCAGACCTTCTCCAGAGGTGGGGTGAGCACACATGGTCAGCTTGTCTGCATGTGTGACTGCCCTTGGCAACAGGATAAAACAGGGAGGGAAAAAAAAAGCTTTTATTGTTCTCCTTCTGCTTTGCACTTTTCTCCCCCCGCAATAAATGTTTCTTTGTTTTCCTGTTGCAGAAAAGTTTTACTGGCTGGTTGCATAATGCTGTACGTGGCAGCATGTAAAATGAAACTATTGTGTCTTATTTGAACTGTGCTTATTTGGACATGGCTGAGTAACTGGTTAGACAGGTTAAATGTATCTAATACATGTAGGACTTATAGAATTAAGAGGTTTTATTTAAATGCCTTCTGTTTTCCTATGGCTTTGAAGTTGAACAAGCGGCAGTTTGGAATGAATTACTGTATCAATTTCTGTTCCGTAACCATTTTCGCTTAACTTTGGAGCTTTCCCCTTAGTTTGATATGAGAAAATTAGTATATAAAGACATTTATTCTTTATTTCAATCAACAGTTTCAGGCTATGTGATTCAATTTTTGCTTTTTGATATTTTGTGTTGAGGGAGCAGAGCAAATGATAAATTAAATACCTTAGAAAACTTGCAGGTCTGTTGATGCTGAAGTTCTCTCCCTGTACAATTTTCTGTTGTTACAGATGCAAATTTTCCATTGTTAATGCAGTGCATAGATACCAAAAATAGATATGAAACTGTAAATAAGCCTCAAAAATCTATACCAGAAATGTTTAGGATAGATACTGTTCTCTATGAGCTTAGTTCTTCTCCCCACACAAATATTTTGTGTTATAAATTTGCTATTTTAGTCCATGTGAGATATACAAGCCTTTTAATGAACTGATCATAGCGTTAAATTATGATAAGGATCCTTATGCATATGTATGTAAACAGCAGCAGTTTCTATAACATAAAACTGTATCCTAAACATTTTAAATTACAATTCTCAGAGGTTCTTGAAAAAACCTTCCATCTCACACAGTCCAAAATGCTTCCAGCTGGACAAGGCTGTATTCTGAGGGGACAGCTTTAAAAATGCAAACAGTGAGTGCATGTAGTTTTCCAGCGAGATCTGAAGTGGAACTCAAAGAACAGTGATTATTCAAGTTGTGAAAATCTGTTTTCAGACTCCAGGAATGCATTCCCAACAGAGTGCAGAAGCTCCCTGTTCCAGTCTAAAGCTAAATCGTTGTTCTGTGACTTCTGCTAAAACTGCTCATTCTTTCTCTGACTTAAAATGTTTTGCCCAGATAGTCTTCTGAGGAAACTGTGAACTTAAAGCCTTTTTTACCAGAACACTGAGGCATCTGAAATTAGAATATAATGTCGCAGGAACATTGCCATTTCAGTGAAAATGTTTGCATCTGCTTGTCTAGCCCTAGGCACGTGCACGAATTGCTTACAAAGCTGATCCTAAAGTGATAAACTGCAAAAGGCTGTACCAAAGCTGAAGAAGTAAGAGAATCTCCAGATACATCTAAAATAAGCCTCAAATCTGAATTTTGGGATAACTTTGAGCAGCTGTAGTTGTTGTTTCTCCCAGTAGACACTGGGATATGGGAAACGCAAGTTAGATCTCTCAGCAGTAGAGTGAGTGTGTGGTTTCAGGGGTTTCAATAGATGAATCAGTCAGATTTTGAGGAGATTTGGGTTCAGATCTTCTCAGCCAGCAGCTGCTGCTAGTGTCCTGCTTTTCAGAATGACTTCTGTTACCCTCTTGAGAGGCGGTGTAGCCTAAATTCAGATTTATTTCATGGTTCTGCTTCCTTATTTACAATATATTTGAACTACACTGATTTTTGCCTTTGTGAACTTAAGGCAGCTGCTTCCTCTAAGTGGAAAATGGAACAATAAAGATAAAGCCCTGTCTTTTTAATTTCAAGAACTACAATAAGCGTGACTCATAATTAATTCTGTGAAAAAAAATGTTTCAGTAAAAAATATTATAAACTTTAAGATAACCTAATGATGATATCTGGAAGTTCCACAGCAGAAAGGGTATCTAATACCACCCTGCAAAGTGGTTTTTGCTGAATCTGTGCTAGCAGAGACTTGTCAGGGTGGGGTTACTGGCAAAAAATCCTTCTGGCTTATGATTTATGCACCGTTGTTTTGAACCCTGCTACAAAGTGATCGTGCAACCACTTCTGAAACAGCAACTGAAATAAAAGTTATACAAATAACATCAAGTGGCTGTTCAGCATTTTGGGTGGGCATCTTGAATGTGGAGCAGCAGCAGCAGAGGAGAAGGGAAGAAAGATTCTCCTTTCATCCTTCTCCCTCCTCCTGACCATGTGGCTGCTGCCACTGATTCGAGCCTGTCATGCTCAGCCAACCTTCTCCTCCCTGACTGGGAGAAAACTGACCTGGAATTTAGAAGGAAGGGGCTGTTTTTGAGATGGCTGAGCCAAACAGCTCCCAGGAAAGGTCAAGGTGGGGCAGAAGGGCAATGGGGAGATGTGCTTTGACCTCACTGTTTATGGAAGCACAGCCAAGGGAAATCCAGCTGAGCAGCATTTGAGCAATGGGAGGATCCTGTGTGAGAGGTGCAAAGATGCCCTGGTGTGCACAGGTACAGATAATGTGATGCTTAAGGCATCAAACCCAAAGTTTTACTTTTTTCCACCACAGATTGTAATGAAGAAAAGTGGTTTTTCCGCCTCGAAGGTGTCTGTGTTTTCTTCCTTCAAGAAAACGAAACAGGCCTTTTCAAAACTCATGAAAGTCAATGGCAAAACCTTAATTCAGTCCTGAAGTATAATTCAGGTTTGGCCAAGAAACAAAGTCATCCTTCACAGTAAATGGTAACAGAAAATTTTCTGGAGCATGGCTGGCAGCAAGATGCAAGTTTAATTTCATGGAATTACCTTCCAGTGGGGTGTCTGTCCTGCTGCTGCATGTGTGAAGGACATGGAAAGGCTGGCCTGTGTGAACAGCTACCTGCCCTACCCCTTGGCACATTGCAATGGAGATGTCTAGAAGTAAAATTAAAAAAAACTTCTTAGAATTATCCTAGGAAAACAATTTATGCTGTGACAGCCCATTTCCAGTATATAAACTGCTTTAATTTGTAAGGTTACAGCTAATTTGAGAGAGCAATGATGTGTGTGTGTATATCTTGTTCTAAGTTACTTCATGTCATTACTAAGTACTTTGTTCCCGTCAATTTTATGAAAAAATTTGTATTTTTTGAGAATAGAGAGTACCTTGGGGGAATCTCCTATCAATGTGCTGTAGAGTTGGAAACAGTAATTTTTGCTCTGTAAAGTTGCCTAAACTGCCCCATAACAGGGAGTACCAGCCATGCCTAATGTAAACACATCGGGGCTGTGGAATCTGCGCTGTCGGGCTTGACAGCTGTGCCATGTCCATCTGAAAAGTGAACTTCTGCACACACAGACTTCACCTCCATGGTGCCTTTGCGTGCATTTGTTGGTAATTGTCACCAGTAAATCTAGTTTGTTCCCTCTTTGCTATTCCAGAGCTGCATTTTGTTTGTTTAACAGATAGCAATTTCCATTCCAAGCTCTCTGGCATAAGGACAGCAGTTTGCTTACCCCACAACAATTCTGATCTGGGTGGCAGAGTCTTTCCTGCAGCTGAACTAAATCCTAGATGTGGTCTGACCGTGTCCTTGTGCCTTCCAAATAACTCCTGACACAATCTGGGGGACTCATGTTGGATAGTTTTGTTGTGTGAACATGATTGTGTCTTCAATCAAGTGAATTCTTTTGAAAAGTACAAAGGACTTGGTTTTGGGATTCTTTGTGCCTTAAAAAAATACACATAAAACGTGAAATGCTTGAGTGTAAACAGGAGTGGATCTCTGTTCTCTTGTCAGTTTATGGCTCACTTCTGTCTGGTTGCAAGGGCCAGAAGAAGGTGTGTCAGACAGTGGAGAGCCTTTTTAAAAACTGGATTAAAAGCGTGCAGGGAGGAGCTGTATCACAGTAGGAACTTGAATCCAGCACTGTTCAGTGTGTACCTGCTCTGGTTTTGCAGCTGTCTCATGCTCAGGGGAGCCAGAATCCTGCCTTGGTTGCAGGGCATAAATCTGGTGTGTATCTGTTTGCTCCTCAGGAACTTTGCTGGCTGGTGAAGACCATTCCTTCAACTTTCAGTTGCCTGAGTTATCTGATCTTAGGTGAATTTCAGCACTTGTTTATAGCATGCAGGAGCTTCTTGCCAGCAGCTGGCTTAGTGTTTCAGATTTTGAAGTGTGCTCTGTGCTGCTCTGGTTGAGCTCTGAGGTTTTCAGAGCGTGCTCCCAAGCTGTGCAGCTTTGTCTCTCCAGGTGAGCACTCCACTTCGCTCTTTTGGAGTTAACGTGGGCAGGAATCTGCTCCTCAGGCAGATCCAAGGGCTGGTCAAGTTGGCAGGGCTATGGGAAGCTCTGTCCTTTCCCTGCCTTAACCATGTAATGGGCAAATGATGAATTGGAGAGCTGTAATTCCCTGCCTGCTACTGCCTTGCACCATTTCATGGTGATTGCACACGTACATCGCTCTCAGCTGTGCTTCCAGCTAAGCAAATATCTTATTTCTGCCACAGCTGACACACAGCTCTTGAGAAGTGCAGTCCTCATTGGGGGGGCTTCTGGCTGCATTTTGCTTCCCAGGTAGGTAGCTTGGTCTGTCTGTCTCTCTCAAGGTTTTTGATAAGGGTGAAAAGTAAGGAATTTTTCAAATGTTGTATTTTATAGGGTGCACAAGTGCAAAATGGGATCTTTGGGGTTTTTTTTCCCCCCTCCTCTCTTGACTAAAATCTTACTTATGGTTTCTCAATCAGTGTATGGCATGATTGTTTCCTCTGTTTTGTGGAGAGCTAAATATCTTGGAATTTTCTGTGCTTGCAGCTGAGAGCCTAAAATATTGTCCTCTTTTCAAGCTATTTTTGTCGTGTTACATTTTATAAACTGTTTTATAAGAATTGTGTCTTTCCAAGACAACTAAATGTGAGAGTGAGATATACAGCATGGGCTACAGCTTCATTGGGAATACTGGAAAAGTTGATTAAGTACTTTAGAAATATATAGTGTGAGTTTTAAAGTAGTGTGTTTGGAAATAGTTTGCTACTCTTTGATCTGTCTGGTACACATATATCATTGCTTCTGCATGCCTCCTCAATTTTTAAAGTTAAAAGTTGAGTTTAGATAAAGGTCTTTAAGAAGGAAAATTACACTTGCAAAGTATAATGTACAGTATATTTTAAAACTAAAAACAAGTATCTTGCTTCTAAAGAAGACTCCCTAGGATATATTCTATATCTGTTCTGTTTTTCAGCTAAGATCCTCCTAAAGCTGCTACAGCCTAAATTACCATTTTGCCTGTCTTATATTATCTTTTTTTTTTTTTTTTTGCTTTCAAACCAATAACATAAATTTGTATTTTCTTTTCTTACAATTGCATATTTATTCTGGCTGAATTCAAGTTGCATCATACCGCTGAAATACACTATAATTTCTCTGTAACAAAATGGTTCACATTCTTAATGAGCTGTTCACTGTGAGCATCTGCTTGAAGATGAAAATAATTGCTTCCAGATGTTCCTGTTTCAAGAGGAGACATTTACTTTAAACGGCACTTGCTTTCAAAGCTCAAGTCAGGTCCTCTGGATGCAAGAGGAATTGTCAGCTGTTTTAAATCAGAAGAGCTCCATTGAAAACAAACCAGGGGCAGTTAGCTGGTTTGCCTATTTTAAGTCACGAGATTTATGCCAGTTTACTCCAGCTGAGAATCTGATTCCCCAGCTTCAGAGCAAATTGTAAAATTGTGTTTGAGCTGATTAAAAGCAAAGCAAACCCAAGCAGCTGCCTTCATGCTCGCTTGGAGCAGGCAGTGCCTCCACGTTCACACAGAGCTCCTGAACTTGGGATGAGAGGAGTGAGTGTGGATTGCTCTCCACCACATAACTAAGGGTAATTTAGGGGTCTGTAGGAAAAATAAGAAGTAGTGCCAGATGGTGCACTCTAAGGATAGGTCTTTTGTTTAAAATCCCTAGAGGGATGCTGCGGCTCCTTGTCTTATTAAGAAATATTCCTCCCATATCATGGAACACCATGTCAGTGTCCAAAAAAATTTTAAATGTTGTTTTAGCTCAAGAGTGAATAGTCTGTCCATGGGGCCAGAGTTGCCTCATCCTGCTCTTCTTTCTGATGTTCAGTGGCTTTATTTCATATCAAAGCCCCCATTTTTAACTCTGCCTTAACGTGCAGCAGTCTGCTGTCTTAACAGCTGTGCAGATCCTGTTCCAGTCTGGGCTGGGCTGTGCCTCTGAAACTCCTGCAAATTCATGATTTCTGGAAGACAGAGGAGTTATTTATAATTATAATTGTAATTTGTAATCACCTGTGTAGAAAGCAGTTCCTCCTGTGATTTCATTAAGTGACTGCCTCTTAGAGCTTTTCAATTAGAAAAAAAGTCAGTGCAATATCTTTTTCTGATTAGTGCTTGATTTATTTCATTCGGAGAAGACAAAAAAAGAAAAAAAGCCAAAACCACGAGGTTACATTTCTGTTTATTTTCCCATCCATCCATAAATATCATTGCCAATGTCAGCAGGAATGGGCATGGCATTGGGAATAGTGGGTGGCTTAGATAATTAGTGTTGCAATACAGATGCAAGTTTCGTACTATTTTTAATTTGTGCAATATTCCCCACCAAACTAAAATAACTTACATGTAGAGCAGATTTTGAAATGAACCTTGACTCTGTAATCTTTGAAATAGCCTTTGTGGCTTCTCCAAGCCATGGTCAGCAATGTGCTGTACAGTTTGGGGCAGAGGAAGAGATGAGAAAAGGCTGCTGGACGTGGTGATTTCTGATCCCTCAATAACATCGGCCTAGATCCAGACTAACTGTGGCAACTTCAGTTAAATCACTGCCATGTAATTCAAAGCACAGTCTGCTGTGATTCCTCAGTGTGATTCATGTGATCAACACACTAATGGGATTTAAAAATTATCAAAAAAAATCTTTTAACCATCTGGAAACCTACATTCTTTCGTTAAAAATCAATCTGGCACTTGGAAAACAAAGTATGAATTTTTTCAGTAAGGCTTAAACTCCTGATGGGACTTTTTTGTTTTTGAAAACAGAGGTGACAGAGGCATTTGATGTACGTGGGACACTGTTAAATTTTGGATGGTTTCTTGCCTTGGCTTTCCTGAAAAATGAACGATTCAATGAAGGTGTAAATGTTAACCATTCTCCAAACACACTGATATGACTCCATCCAAAGCATGTCTACTCTGCAATCTGCAAAACAAATTTGGGGCACACAAGCAAAAGCCATGAGCAGTTATTTCTCCTTTACAGCATTTCTTGGTTTAGACACTGCCTTTTAGACTCCACTTGGGACATTTCTTTCACTGCAGTTCCCTCCACACTGCACAGCCCTCAAAATCCATCAGGTACTACACCGTGTAAGTTACTATTTATTGGTGTAGGTAGAGGTGTTGCTTGCCTCTGCTGCTCAATTTGGGTTGAGGTGCTCATTCTGCAATACATCCTTTATTGGATAACACGTGACAAGAAGGTCTACGAGGTAATCCTAAAGCATAACTTTGGCTGATGAGTGTTTTAGGAAGACGCCAACTCTTTTGTAATGTGCCATTATGGAGGTTTGGGTTTGTTCAGCCTCAGTATTGTTTTTGATTTCATGTCTAGCCCAGGGATTAGCTTTGCCACACATTTGCTTGAAGTAAGGAGTGGGACACAGTGGTTTGGTGATTAACACAGAACATTTAGATGAAAATAACTGCAGCACTTGAGAAACACATTGAGGTTCAAACTGAGGGTTTAATATGGGCCTGCCAATAAAACACATGGCAGTCTGTCAGTGCTCACATAAATAACTGGGGAAATGATTCTACTTGGCTTTCAGGAGCTGCTAAGTCGCACATCGCTCGAGACTCAGAAATTAGATCTGATGGCTGAAGTGTCGGACCTGAAGATTAAGCTGGTTGGTATGGAAAAGGAGCAGAGTGAATATGAAGAGAAACAGAACAAAGCTGAGGTGAGTTTCTTTCATTGTTTTAATTTTTTTCCATGTCTGTGGTGTGTTGTCCCACACCTGAGCTTTTGGGCTGAAGTCAGCAGGGAATAGGATTTCCCATGCTGGCAGCACAGCCCCTATCACTGATCCTATGAATTCAGGATTATGCATTTTTGGGATTGGTTTGTTTTCCTCTCTCTCATTATACTTCAGAGGTTGCTGTTTGGCTTTCGTCAAGGCAGAGTCCCCTCCAGAAGCATTTATTGCAGTGGGTGTTCACTTAACCCTTTCCTTTCCCTGGGAGCTGCACTGACATGGCTGTGCCAGACCTTCCAGAGCTCTTCCCTCATTTTTGTGGCAGAAAAGAATGTCAGCTCAGTAGTGTCAGGAGTGCCACCAGCACTGAGATCAGGGATTTTAATGTATTTGTGGCACTTGGGGGAGGACATTTGCCTCAAATGTGTCTTTCCCCTTGTGGCTATGTAATAAATAGTGCAAAAGAAAATATCATGGGCTGGAGGCAATTCCAGCCCTTACTCCCTTTCAGCTGTGGAGAGCTCTGGATATCAAAGGAGTTTTGGGTTTTGCTGTATTGGTTAAAAAAGAGAGTATGAAACAGGGAATTCGTCTGAGCAACATCCATCGTGGTGGTGAGCAGCAGGTGGGAGCTGGGAAGGAAAGCAATCATGGAAGAGAGAAAAAATTCATACAGATGTGTTGCTCTACTCAGTGGTCCTGTTAGGGGACCAGCTAGCAGGAGAGGACTGCCTGGAAAGGAAGGATTGCTGAGTCTGAAATTTATACATTGATGACTGGGGAAAAACAAAAACAAAAAAAAAAAAAAAAAAAAAAAAACCCCCAAAAAAAAAAAACCCCAAACTTTGTTCCATATTGACTTGGGAGGATTCGAAATCCAAGCAGCATTAGGAACTGTTTGCTCTCCATAACTCTGCTAGTGGAATAGGTGATAACTATGCATCAGTACTTTGCCTGCAGTGGTGGCTCATTTGGGGTGTGTTTGCTTTCAACTTATTTATTCTCTGAAGTTTTCTTTAGAGATTCAAAGATAACATAAAGAGAGCAGTTTCTGGCAGAGCTTGCAAGCCAGAGAGGCACCAGCTGCTGTTTTCACCACCTGTGGCCCTTCTCGTGCTCTTTCAGCTGTAATTGCCAGTGCCTTGTGTACAGAGGGGGCCTGAGCACTCTCAAGCTACCTGAAAATCTGAGCAGCACCTGCTCCCAGTGTGTGGAATACCGGGCTGAGGATGCCTAAATTGTTGCAGGGCCAGCCTGGCTCTTGGAAAGCAGCAAAGATTTCGGGTGCGTTTTTATGGACAGGACTTTTGAGTGCCTGGGAGGTCTGGTCCTGTGAGCTGTGAAATCCTGCTGCTGCAGTGTGGTGTGTTCCCCCTTGGGTGGGAAAGTTGAGCTTTAACAGCCTGGATGCCTTGGTGGTGTTGCAAAGTGATAGGACACGTTCCTGCTGAGATGGAAAAAAGGGTTCTAATCTGATGGAGAAGCTGAGAATCGTGTTGAGTGTGTGCTGAATTATTTACTGTCCCAAGGTGTGATTAGGTTTCTGGCATGTAGAAAGTTGCAAAATTTGTGTGTGCAAAGCAAGGAAAGGTGTGGGAAGCAAACAGCACTTTTGGTTTGCTTCTTGAGTTATTTATGTATTTATTTCAGATTCTCCTGAGTAAGCATAAATCCCATTTATCACGAGTTGCTTTCAATCAAATGAGATGCTTAGTGGAATTCTAATGCTTTAACCCTATTTCTGCACCTTTTCCTGTAAATTATACTAATTTTTCAATACAGACATGATTTCAAACATCAGAATGAAATTTATTAATGTTCTTTACATTATTAGATTACAGCTGCTTCAATTTGGTAATATTTTGAGTGTTTTCCTGAGCTCTTTGCCTCCACTGCCCAACTACATCTGTCTAATGAAGAAACCCTTTGACAAAAACAGTCTACCTGTAGTTTGCTCTTGGTTTTGGCATCCAGTAGTTAAATCATTTTAAATAGCTTGCTCAGATACTTCAAGGCTGACCCTGCTATTTCTAAATATAATAATGGGGCTTTAAAAGTTTTAAATTAAATGTGGCATTGCAGGATCATTCAGCTCAACCATGTTTTCTCTCTATTCTAATTTTGTGTTGGCTTATTTCACAGCAGCTGTTTCCAGTCACTGAGAATTTATCTATAGAATTATTTTTCTGGTTGGGCTGGGAGGAAAGAAAGCAAATTAAGACATCCTTCTAAATATGAGTGAGTTTTAATATGTAAGATTGGTTTCACTTTGTCTTGTGCAGCTGTTATTTAGGTTTGGTTTTAGTGAGCAGCAAAGAGTTTATCAAGCATCTCTAACCTCTTCTCAAAGGTATTGATTTCACACTGAATGCCACTTGTCCCTGGCTCTTCAAAAGTCCATACTAAATATAAAGTGCCTTTTATTTATATATATTGCAGATGGGCGAGGAGAATAGCTGCTTGTATATCAACTGTCTCACTCCTGGCTTTGTCACTTTAATTCCTTGTCTGGGGAATAATGTCCTACTTTTGACACAGTAATGCTATGAAGGTTTCTGGACTCTCACCTGAGGGGGTTGTGTGGCTTTTCTCTTACCTGAGAAGCCTCAGAAATTTTGAAAATGTGTTTTTCCTGAATGCAGCAAGGTATGAGGCAGCAGCCTTGATTTATGGCTGCCCAGATGTCTGCTCTACCTGAATTTGGACAAAAGAGACTGTCTGTCTGTCCTGCTTCTTCCTCTTGTAGCATGGGATAAGTCTGTGGCTTTGGCTATAAGCTGCTGGCAAGTGTTTTGAGGCTCTTGCAACTTCTGAATTAAATATCTAGTGCAAAGCTACTTGCAATTCCAAAGAAACCGGAGTCAGTGAGGCACTGACTCCCTCTGGGGAGTCTGGTGTGCTGTCTCATCTGAATCAAGGTGTTGTAGTCAGTGTTCATGAATGCTCATGCTGGGAAAGAACCTCAAAAAGGCCTGTTCTACCTTGAACCTGGAAACAATTGCGAAGGCACAAGCTAGAATTCCCCTGGGATAAGGGTTTCTGCCGTCTCTGTACCGTCAAGTTGGTCCTGTGGGGTCTGTGGACGCTTCCCTTTCCCCCTTTTTAATGATAAGGCAAAAGAGAGAATTGCAAGGCAGCAGCAGAAGTGTTTCTGGACTCCCCCATGTCACCACACGCAGAGCAGCTGCCAGTTTGTGCTCAGAAATCTGCATCCTCTTGGAGCTGCCCCTCTCCATCCAGACCCTGGTGTGGGCTGACAGAGCTCCTGCCAAGGCTTGGTGCCAAAAGAAAGTGAGGGAGATGGATGTGTGTGTCCTGCCAGTTCCCATCCCCAGCTGGTGCTGCTCTGGGAGGTACCTGATTGTGGAGAGGATGGTGAAAAACCAAACCAAATCCTCGTTTATGTCCATTAAAGGTTTGCTGGGTGAAAGAGGATGAGCATCAGACATTGTGATCCTGATTGAGCATAATATGTACAAAGTAAAATGGATGTAAAGGCTTTTCTGAATTTCATCTTAAACACTGATCTAGAAAATACTCAAATGTGTGGAACTCTTTTGTGTGAGTTAGGTGAATCTTTGTGAATGTTTAAAGTTGACTGTGGATGCTGTTACTGCCCTGCCCTTGCTGTTCCCTAGCTCTAAAACTTCTGATTTTCCTGCAGAGTTGAGGTTACAGGAGGATTGTTGGCAATTCTAATGAAGAAAATAATAAAAAAATTATTTGCCACGTCATCTGTTGTTCTGTCCACTGAAATCTTTTTCTCTCCTTTGAAAGATGGATTAAGCTCCTCAAATTTGTTCCACTTGAGAAGACTGAGAAACCACAAAACTTATTAGTTATTAGTGTCCCTGAAAACTAAGAGAAAGGCACTTCACTCATAATACCTGAAAAAATACTCAGTGCTATTTGCTACAGAGTTGGGGAATTTAGGTGAAATATCATATGGATTTTCATACTTGACTTTGGTTTGCTTTCTAAACTGGATTTTTGTGTGTGTGTATCACTGAAGTACACAAATCCAAAAAGTTGACCAGCAAACTGGTACACTTGCAAATAATTACTTTTTCTTCTGTGTTATCCTCCTGATTTCTCCCACATCTGTTGCTTAACTCCTCCTCCACCTCAACATCCTGCCCAGATAGAGAGGTGATGGAGTTATTTTTCTGCCCATGCTAACCTGGAAACAGAATTACTTTGCTAGTGAATTCTGTGTATAAATTATGAAAGAGCAGGCTATGGCCCCAGCTAAGCACTTTGCAGTTTATTCCTACTGGATGATTTGGAAGTGCAAATGAATGCAATCAGGTCCCATTTCAGCAAAAGTGTACCTCTGAGCCAGCATATTAAAATGTGTTTCAAATGATCCCTCACATGACTGTGAAACTTTCCAAAAACAGTTTCTGATCTTAACTTCAGAGTCAGAATCATGAATTAGTCTGGAATGTAGATTCTGTTCCATGTAAACTGTGGCTTTGTGCAATATTCCAGGTTTATACTCTTTTATATCTACTTTATCTGAAAGGAGACACATAATCTGTCTTTTTTAGTTTGCCTTTGATATGCTTCACGTAGTTCTTTGTGTTGAAACTGTAGAAATATATTCTTTGCATCATTTTTTTTCCTTACCTGTCCTTTTTTTTTTTGTTGTCTTTTTTTTTCTCCCTTTCCTCCCACGTTTTCAGTCAGTAGTGAACCTGATCAGTGACCTACAGGAGCAGATGTGTAGACTGCAGCTGGAAATTAATAGTAGGATCCAAGAAAGAAAGACTCAAGATAGGAAAGCAGACTTGACCCCTAATGATCCTCAGTCTGGTGCAAGATCAATAGAGCCCCTGGGCCAGAAGAATTGCTCTCGGTGTGAAGTACGAGAAGCTCCCCTTGGCAGAAGCCTCTCTATTGCCTCTTCTCCCTCTTGCAGAAACTAAATCCCACTAACCAGAGCTGCCTTGGGAATGTTTTGGCATTAATCTTTGTGGCTTGAGTGATGACAGTGCCATAAAAAATGACCAGGAAAAAAAAAAATCTCACCCCAGACTCGCCACCCCAATTACTGGGACAAATTTGGTCACCACTGATGGCTGTCTACTAAAGCACAGAAATCTGTAAAACCAAATCACCCCTTTCCGATTTTTCAGTTTCCATTTCACTTGTAAGTCTGCAATGCTGGTGTAGTGTGGGTTTTTTGGATTTGGGGGTTGAGATTTGTCTGATTTTGTGCAGCATGCTGGCATGGTTTGTAGTTTGCTGCTTTTCCTCTTGATGATGCACCCCAGCTGTGCTTGATGGTGTGACCTAACCAGTCCTCTGAACACAGATTATTGATTCCTGGATACCTTAAAAGCTTAACACAGGTATCAAATAATTTCAGCTAAAACTCTCTGACATGTACCCTTTCTTTTTCTATTAAAAAGAGCCATAATAAAATTAATCTGCTGGTACTTTTAAAATAGCAAATCCAACATGTTTTTTTTTATTCCCTGCCATTAGCAGGGACCAGAATTTGCATAACAGATCCTGGTTGTATTTAATCAAAAATGTGTCACATGGCAAAACGAAAGCTACTTTGCATAAATGGCTTCATGTCACTGAAGGTGGAATGATACTGGTACGCCTAGAAAAAACCATTTTAGTACTTGATTTCAAATCAGATTGTTTCCACATTTCTTTTCTTAAAATTTGCATGTCCAGAACTCATAAGTAATCTTCTTGTATTGTGAGGGAGTTTTTCAGTAATTTATCTCACAGGTTTACATTATAAAAATAGCTATTCTGTGTGATACATCTATTTTGAAAATAGTGCTGTTGTTTCTGGGCTTGTTTTTGTGCAGAACTGCTTAATGGCCTATTGGAACTACGGGCTTTAGGTTAGAGAAATAATCTGAGAGTCAAATCTAGGGGTTATTCCAAATAAATCTTAATGTAATCCAAGATGTTAGTGTGGTGCTTAATGTATGTACTGCACAGGAGTCCAAAATTGGGTTTCCCCTCCAAACTTTTCCTTTCCGCAGTTCATTTTAAGACGTTTTGTCTTGTCAGAGCTCCATCAAGGTTTTAACAATATTGTCCTTTAGAATGAGCAAGATACAATTCTATCAAGGAATGGGAGGAGGGACATCTAAGGGACAGTTTCTTGGAGCAGGTCACAGTTTTAGTGTGGCAGTTCAGTGTTGAATATTGTGTGGTTCATGCATGATCTGTAATTCAGGACTGTGAAAAATTAATATCTGCCAGGAAAACCTTACCTTTAATTTCCTTCTTCCTCTGCAGGGTTTGTTACAGGAACTCAAACACCTCAAAATTAAAGTAGAAGAACTGGAAAACGAAAGAAATCAGTATGAGTGGAAATTGAAAGCAACTAAAGTAAGCAGAGTCCTTGGCATTTTCTAATGACAGGCTTCTATCAGCTGGGAAGGATATGCTCCATTTCTCATCAAAATTTACTTCTCCAACATTTACCTTGTGTAAGGGTAGCTATGAAGTCAAGTTTTCTTTAAACATCTTTGGAATAAATAACTTGGGTTGAAGGTGGTGTAGCCTTCTTTGTGCCTTTTGCTCCCTCCATGCAGTTTTCAGTCTGGTACTTCTTGCAATTCTTAATTAGGAAACCACAAAAGGCATTTTGAGTTGCAAAGAGCGGCCCAGAGTAAAGGCCCCTTTGAAGGCTTCGTGGCCTTGATTTGTGTAATGGTGACAAGCTCTGTGGGATATACTTTCCTGAAGAGGCACGCAAAGTTTGTTGGGTGTTTGCTTACTATGGAATTTGTTTTCACAGACATTAAGCCCAAAATACACCATTAGGTCATCTGCTTTGACTTTGTGTATATCACACTGCACGGCTCCCTTACACTTTTGCTGACCTTAAGTCCTGCAAAGCTGTTGGATCATAATCTGGAGAAATTTGACTTGTCAAACATTTAATCATTTTCCCCAGCAATTAATCTTTCTAGTGGAACATTCTCTCTGTTATTTCTGGTTTGAATTTTTAGCCCTTTTCGACTGGATTAAAAAGCACCATATGATTTTTCCTTCTTGTGCTGTAATCACATCTCCTTTCATTTGTGTAATAATCCCTGTTGATATGAATGACTGATTCTTGACTTGTGGTTGAATCTTGGAGAAACATTTCAAATTATTAAACTCAATTTTCTATTTAATGCTTGATAGCTTGATCCAGACATGACAAACAGCTATTATTTGTATTAGCATTTCTTTCTTTTGAGAAATCTTGGATGAAGAACAGAATGTTGCTGTCATGTCTTTTTTCTCATTAAGATAATAGTTCTTCAATCCATGAAAATGTTTTCTCTGACGTGGTGGAGATGAACAGTCTTTGGGAAAATATTTTCTCAAGCAGTGTGTGGCCAGCTGCCAAAACAGATAGAAATTATGGAAAAAGTAGAGGCAGAAGGAAAACAGGAAAGAAGACTCATAAAACCCACTGAGGGAGAGAAGGTGCAGGGCTGGAAAGGAAACAAAGTACAAGGAAAGGGAGAGGAAGCAAAAAAATAATCAGAGATGACAGGAATTAGACTTTAAGGGAAAAGAGAACCTTTGAAAGAGTTCTGAGATTGAGTAGACCAGGGGAGGCAAATCCAGATCTGGCATTAAGGTCTGCAAGCTTTTGTCTTCCTGTTGTTCCAGCTTCTTAGACGAGAAATTGGAATAAATCCATGGCTGGATATAAAAAGAATATTAGTCAGTGGGAAGTGTAGGAGCCCTTCAGAGATGCAACAAGGCAGATTCTTCTATTCCATGTGGAATTTTAGGCAGAGCAGTGACGTTATCCTGCAATCCAACTGCTTGCTTCCTGGTGAAAATAAGTTTGTGTGCTAATTAATCCGTGTTTCTCTGTTTGGATAATGCTGTTTGGGTTTTGCATCTTTCCTGCTGTATTTTATTTTGAGAAACTGGTCAAATTCATTGGGGGGTTTTGTCCTTTTTCTTTGCTTTTTTCTTCCCTTTTTCTCCACCCTTTTTTTTTCTTCTTTTTTTCTTTCTTTCTGTCCTCCATCTGCGAGGAGGCTTGATGTGCTTTTACACGGGGAATGTAGAATGTTGGCACACAATGGTTTTGAGACCTCTGAAGAAACTCTTATCAAACTGCTGACTTACTAAAATATGCTGCTAGCAGTTTTCTCATAAATACAAAAAGAAGATTAGAATCGCTGCATTTCAAACTGAACAATCACAGAATTCTTCTCCCTTTGTCTTGTTGAGATTTTTCATGTGGGATTTTCTGTCCAAATCTGGTGGCAGCCCTAAATCTCCAGTAAATGTAAATGAATATGGTATTTTGCTGCATGTGTGTGGTGGTTTTCCAGGCTGTGCTTTCCTTCTACCTATTTGCTGTTTTGAGGAAAAACAGTTTTGTTATCTTGCTGAGGAGGCACAGCATTAATAGATTCTCAGTTATACTAATAAGTAGTAACTAGGATTAAAAACAAAAATAAATAATAAAACAAATAATAAATAAAATAAAAATAACCAGTATCTGTTTAAAAGTCCTTTGGTATCTTTTAGAGGACTTCATGCAAAGTTTGAGTTCCCTATAATAGTCATTATTTATTTATTTATTCATTCTATTATTATTTTTATAACAACTTTGTAGCATTGACAGCTTTCCAGAGTTTCCTTACCTACATAAATCCTTGGAAATGTTAGTCTGCCTTTTCCAAGAGCTGATTGCATCAGGAAAAATGAGCTTCTCTAATAGAAATAGCAGCATAAATACGTATAGTTGTCCTAGTGTTTGTGAAATATCCTGAGCTGGTAGCTGACCTCAATCACAGCCTCACTCAGGCATCTCCTCCTTCCTGGGAAAGACTCACAGGCAACGGGTGGGGAAATTTTTCTGACTTTGCTGTGTTCTTTTCCAGGCTGAGATAGCCCAGCTCCAGGAGCAGCTGGCTCTCAAAGATGCGGAGATAGAACGCTTGCAAAGTCAGCTCTCCAGGACCTCCTCGTACACTGAAGTGGCAGAAAGAGGTAAGAGGAGGGGAAACAAAATTTAAAATTCAAAACCCTACTTTAAGTTTGATTCGGTAGCAGCATGGTGCAGGGCTGCAAAGAGATACAAAGAAATGCAAGAATGGACTTAAAATTTATTATGGGAGGAAAAGCAGTGTCAATTAATTCTGTGTTCTGGTGGAGTACAGGCCTTTAATGTGTGAAATTCTATTCCAGTCTAGAGGCAGCACAAATTGAAATAAGTATCCTCAGGGCCCTGAAACTTTTTCTGTTGGTATTTTATTTATAATTGTAAAGACTCATCATAGTTCAATGGGAATTTATTTTTCAGGTATACCTTGAAAATATCTTTGAGAAATCCTTACAGTTTCTGGTTTTTAAGGGAAAAAAGGGTCATGGTAGTAGCTAAGCCTGATGTTTCAATGTCCAAACATCCTAAAAGAGTCATTGCTTCCTTTCTCCATGGCTGTGTGTCGTTCAGGCTCCCTGTACCATGAAAGTTTGCACTTTTCAGAGTCCCTGCCAGCCTGGGCTGGTTTAGGATTCTGTGATATTGCAGGCTTGTGTTTGTTTCTGTTGACATAGGTCAGTGGCAAGTAAACCAGTTTGTTTAGCCTTTGGTCTCAACCAGTGGTGCCACAGTTCTTTGAAATATTCACTCCCTGGGGCTCCTGCCAAATGCTGGGCCAGGACAATATGGAATTAGGGACCTTTTTCCCCTGCAGCACCAACGCTGAGCCACGCAGGAGTATTCGTGAGCAGTTTAGCACAGGGCATCAGCTTTGCTGCTCTAACAGCTTCTGTGGGTGTTAACTGAGGCTGCCCGAGGCTGCCCTGGCTGGGATGTGAATTTCCATGTGCTGTGCTTCCCCCTTCCCAGGGCTTCCCAAGAACCTCCTCTGGTTCATCCCAGCAGAGTGACTTAACATCTCCTTGTGGTGATCTCACTCAGCTGCAGAGCTTGTGCATGTAGAGAGCTGCATGTCTAACCAGAAACTTAGTTTGTCTAACAGCAGTGCTTGGTAGAGGAACCCTTCTACTAATAGAATTATGTATTTTCTGTGAGATTCCCAAACAATTTAGGGTATTTCAAAAGAAAGATAATGGTATGACAGTAAATCTAGAGCTCAGCAGCATTCAGCTTGTAGAAATGTGGTGAAACTGTCCTTGATTCCAGTGGCAGAAGAATCAAACCCTCAACAAAATCTGTGGGCTACATTCAAGGAAAGCACTTGGACTGTATTTGAATGGAAACAGAAACAATCCTTCTGAAAACAAACAAACAAACAAAAAATTACTGACTGATCAGAATTTTGGGTGATCTTCTCAAATAAAGTTGAAAAATGATGTGAATGTACTAGTAGTATGCTAGAATGCATATCCTAAGTAAATTGCAAAATTGATCTAATATGTGCTTTTTCTACATACTTTACTTGACTCTCACCACTTACCATCGTAGAGGAAGTTTATAGGAGAAGGCTAAAAGAAAAACGTAAGCCTTGCAATTCCCTTTTGGCTTTGTCTCACTGTTCCTTTCACACCAATGTTAACTCAGATGCCTTCTGCAGCAATAATTCCATGTTTGTTCAGATTTGGCTGTCTAATTGTAACACACACGAGACACTGCTTTCGCTGCTTGCAGCAAGCAGACAGCTCCTTTCCCTGCTCAGTGAGGTTTCACTGCAGAAATAAAGGTCAGAGGTTCACAAATCAAAATGTTGGACATCAAAGGGACATTGTCAAGGTTAACAGAGCCAAAACGTAACAATTACCCCCTTTTATTTACACATATGCAAACCCAATTTGATTATGAGAAAAACAGCTTTAATTGAAAGCCTTTCTCTTTGGAGAGGAGGATTTAGGCTTTTTTATTTTTTAAATCACTGCATTAAATTAAAAAAAAAAGTCTGAATAAATGTCCCCATGCTTGATGATGTTAATGAATACTGTAAGTAAAATTTGCTTTAGTGTGCTTAAATCTACCTTGACGCCTTTTTGAAGTCTAATATTTATAAAGAGAAATTAGTAGGACTGTGATTTTTTTAAAAGTCTCCCAATTGCTTGCCCACTGCCTTGCTGGCTTTAGTTTTTGATTTGGCTGTGCCTGTGCATGTCCTGTGTCTCTTCTTTGAGAAAACACCTGTGAAGTTCATGTACATGTTTTAAACTTAATCATTGCAAAGTGTGCACTTTCCAGAACCCCTGCAATAAAAACTAATTACTGCTTTTTCACATAGTTTAGCTATGACATTTTGTGTTCAACCTTCATTTGTAAAGCCTTTTTTCACAGATGCTCTTTGGCAATGTTGATCTTCTTTCCCGTCTCTCCTTTCATGCCTGCTGCCATATCTGTTTTCATGGTTTTTTGGGAACAGTTGTGTCTGGTTTAGTGTCAAAGCATGAATAGCTTTGTGGTAGTTACAGCACAGGAGCTCTTTCAGGTTCTGTCTCCATCACACTTGGTTTACTCAGGAAGGTTTGCTGGCACTGTTGTGTAGAGAAAAATGAGAAATTTGGTTCAGCAAAGTTAGGATGTGATTAACAGCCTCATCAGTTTCAGAGAGGATGTTTTAATTGACTTCATTTTAACATTACTGGATAACTTCTATCACTAAATTGTGTGTGAGGAAATTCTCCATTGGCTTGTGATGCAGATTTTAACCAAGTTGCCCATACTGAAACATTTAAGTAAATAACATTTTGCAGAATTTCCTTCTATCGAACCAGTTTTTGTTAGTTTTCACTCCCAAGTTCATGGATGTACTTTAGCTACTTCTCTAATGGAATATATTTTCAATCCTACTTTAAATTATTTCCTTAAGTATGTAACAGCAAACACACTCTCATCTTTTGCAAAATGAGCTTCAGCCTTTCTTTTCTTTTCCACTGCTTGACTTTCATAGTTTAAAATAGTGTTATGTAGTCTTTTGTAAGCAAAACCAGGATGTTTGTGTTGTGCAGTACTTTTTATAGTTCAGCTTCTGAAAAAATCTACACTAAATGTAGTTTAGTAGTGCACTGGCCACGCCACTGACATGGTTTTGGTTATTAGCAAGAACATAGGGAAAGTATCAAAAAATATCTATTTGCAGTAAACAGAGCAAGTCTTATTTCTCTTACAACATTTTAAAACATTTTCAGACCAAGAAGTTCAGCGGTTGAAGATAGGAATGGAGACATTATTGGCTGCAAATGAAGAAAAGGTGAGAAAATAATCCTTTTTCTTCATGTTAAGAATGAAATGATGGGTTTGAATTCCTGAAATGTTCCAAATAACACGCTTTCTGTAAGGACTAAATGAGAAAGGGGTTCATTCTTCAGGAGACTGTCATTTTTGAGACAACAAATCAAGCTGTGGCATTTTCCTGGATGGTGGCACACCCATATATGATCATATAGACAATAATATGCATCCCTAAAAACTTCCTTTAGCAAGTGGGGAATCCAGACAGGGAAACATTAGTTCTGGAGAATATTAATGTGGCTCATAACGTTTATTTCTTAAGAAAGCCCTAATGTCAAACTCCTCTGGTTTCCCTACATCTAAAAATTCACATTATCCAGCAAATACTGTGTACAAAGGCAAATAACATTCCTTACAAGGCATGTGAAGGACTGAGCCTGTTTTCATTGAAATCACAGAGATGTAGTACAGTGTTCCTGCAGTTAAAAAAGGAAGGATTTAAAACGTAATTTAATTTATTTAATGTTTTCCACAGGACCGTCGGATAGAGGAGCTGACACTACTGCTAAGCCAGTACAGGAGGGTCAAGGACATAATGATTGTAGCTCATGGTAAAATAGCTTGTGAATAATTTCCTGCTTTTGTTTTTTAGTTTATGTGGTGTTTCCTGTGACCATTATGACCTGTGACCACCAGCCATATTTCACAGCATAAAATGCTCCTAGAGAGGGAGAACATTTCCCTCCCACTGAGGAAAACCCTGACAGCTGACAAGACAAGTTTTGTTTGGAAGGAACAACTCAAAATGCACATTGCTTTGGTGCACACAGTTCTGTGTATTCAACTTCAAAATCTGGGGGGAGGAAGAATAATCTGTGTCCCATTTCTCATTTGCAGTGTAGGAAGTGGAGTGGGTTTTAGGACAATCTCATTTTAAGTTGCCACCATAATTTTCAGCACTGAATTGAACCTGGGAAACTTGGCCTTCTGAGAGGACAGTTTTGTTCCATGCACACCACCACATTAACAAGCAATAACAATATCTTTAGGCCTTGCATGGCAGAATGGAAACTTGTATTTAACACACAAAAATATGGGATGAGAGTGAGTGTATTTAACACAAAAAAATAGGGAATGAGAGTGAATGTATTTAACACACAAAATAGAGAATGAGAGTAAATGTCTCTCTGAATGTTCATTAAGTAAATAAATAAAAAGAAAAGGAACAAGCCGTGTTGCTCTGGATTGTTGAGCTGATACTGCAGAAAGAAAACTTTGCCTGTTTCTCCCCCTTTCTAATTCTTCTCTGTAATTCTTTCAGGCTCTCCTGTCTCTGGTGGCAGCGAAGAGGAAGTTGAGGCAACTTTAAGGAAGTGGAGCCTTCTGAATAACTCTCAAGGAGAATTACTGAAAACAGAGGTACAGATGTTCTGCAAGCAGGTTCTGCTGTATAGATGATTTTTTGCTGTTGGTTTCTCTGTACTGACGAGGGTGAGGGTTCAGCCCTGGCTGAATTTTTGCATTTCTTGGTACGGGCACAGTAGATTTCAGCAGAAGACACCAGAGCTACAGGCTTGAAACTCTTGTATCTTCCCCAGGCCTCTGCAGGAGAGTTGTCACCAGTTGTGCTCCCTCCAGTGCCACACAAAGCCGTGGAAATCAGGCAAGACCTTTCTGTCTCCTGTGCTGCTAAACTGTATTATTTATTGTATTTATAGACTGTTTCCCTGTTGGCATCTTCTTTTGACTGTTCTTGGCTTTGCTGCAGTTTGGGGCACTTGTGAAAGCTGTGCTTGTCGTGGAGGTTTGCAATGCTTAGATGCTAAGGTTTAAAGTATAGGAATAAATCAGCATTTTTATATATAATATATCTTTCTATAATATATATATTTATAATATAAATATTTTTATATTATAAATATATAATATAAAAATATATATTATATTAGGTTTGCAATGCTTAGGTGTTTAAGGCTTAAATTATAGGAATAAATCAGCATTTTAATATAACATACATTATATATTTATATAATTTATACTATAATATAAATATATTTAGATTGTATTATAAATTTATAATATAGAATTATATTTTATACATATATATTATTATTTTATAATTATATTTCATATATTTTATATATGTTATATAAAATATATAGTCTATATTCTATTATATTACTTTATGCTATATATATTTGTATTTATATTATATAACATGTAAATATATATTTATGTTTCTATATCATATATTTATATATAAATTTATTTCTGTTTAAAGTGGAAGCATTCCAGTATCCTCAAGCAATTTAATTTCTCAGCAGGAAGAATCTTTGGAAGTCACAAATAGGTGAGAATGCGTAAAACATCATCGAAATGTAAAACAATTTCCCTTTCTAAAATCCCTAAATGTTGCACAGAGTTACTGCTGTGCTTGTTAAGAGTTTCTAAAATCATCTAGAGGAGCAAGGCTACAGCTGCCCACTGGGCCTGGCTGCATTGCACTGCTGCTCAGAGGATGCCTTGTTGCTCTTTCTGCCTTCATCTACTGCTGTTCTCAATGCCATGATTTTCAGACTGAAAACACAATAAAATAAACAAATATCTTAATTCTGAGCTACGTTTTATGCAGACATTATGTGATTTATGCAGCTGCTGTGCATGAGACAGTGGTGATATGCAAACAAACCACGTTGTATTAACTGCAGCTTTTTCCCATTTTTTAAGGGTTCCACAGAAAAAAAAGTCAAGTAGTTTAGAAGACTTGCAGAGCGAATCCTTGGAAAAGGTTGGTTTATTTGTAATCACAGCTTCTGGTGTTTAATGTCTCAACTAAAAGACAAAGATCAAGCATAAATATTATTTTTGTTACGCATACAGTAACTTTAACCACCACTAACTCTGTATGTGGGGAAAGAGCCCTAAAACAGCTCAGGTTCTTTTTTCCCCCCCATTTCCAAGCTGGTTGACACACCCGTGTAGACACACCTTCAAATTCAGTTTTTGCCCTGAGAGAAACAAAAATATTTAAGGGAACTACAAGAAATAGTGAGGAGTCATGTTGTTAAACTGCAGTATTATTTTGTTTATAAGGGTTTTTTTTTTAAATATATTTTACTTCCAGGTCACCAAAAATATTAAGGCAGCTAATCCTGAAAGTAGCTAAATCTTGGGACTGGGTATTTCCACATAGGATTCGTTTTTGGGTGTATGGATGTAGCAGTTTTTTATATTACTTTATATTATTCAGTTTTCCCTGAGCTTTCTGAAATGTTGGCAGCGATGCTGCCTTAGTTAAAGCAGCTGGACCACTTCAAGGGCTTTAATTCCACTCCAGAATAAAACTTCACAATTTGTAAAGTCTTGTTACATTGTGGTCCACAGTCTTGTTTTGTCGTTATGTATACTGATGTTTTTCTAGATTTCTGTAACTCTGCTTTGTGAGACTTGTTGTTTTCTGTACCCAAATTAGGCTTGATACCAGGTGACCTAGACCCAGTAATGCCTTTGAAACCAGATACCAGTCATATGATTGCTCCAGTTCTTAAATTTTTAAATTTTTTTCTTACATATTTTCATATTTTGCTGGAGAGGATAGTGACCAAGTAGAATGAAATTTGTGACATTTGTGCTGCATTGGTTTGATTGTACTCACACACATGACAAATCAGAACTAACATTTCATTCCATGGAGAACTGCTAAAGGTTTTCTTGTCATAAATTTTAGTTATTTTCTTGTCTTAATCCAAAAATCTGAATTTGTCTCTGTGATATGCTGTGATAAGGCTGGACCTACACATTTAGGCTGGAGTTATTCTGCCTTGCTCAAAGCTCAAATTCCCACTGCTTCCAGCAATAATAGTAATAAAATAATAAACCACATCGGTGTCCCTGACCTAACTGTGGTGGAATTTTTATCATTTGGTTTCTGTCAGAGCTCTTTATGGTTTCAGCTGGATCCATACAGCATTGTGTGTATTATTTTATGTCAGTTGTTTTCATATTGGTCTGTTAAACAGCTGTTGGGTTCCCAACTCAAAGCAACTCTAAAAAGACCACCCAGAAACCTGAAAACAGCAAAATTCCTTTGATCGCAACAGAACTTAAACAGGAATTTTGCAGAGTGGGGAATGAACAAACACAATTAGTATTAAATAATAGATTGAAAAGAAATTAAGAGGTAACAGTCCTTGTAGTATATTGTCCATACATTAAGCACGATCTCTATAGCAATAAGACTACATTTGGTGTTCCATGTATGTATGTTAATACTAACATTTGTCTGTTGCTTTTTTCCACAAAACTTTGCAATTGCCCTCCCTGAAACTCCATAGTATGTAGATGGAAAACCAGCACAGCCTGTTGTAGAACAAGAGGTATATTAACTGCAACCTTCCCTAACAATTCTCTGGTGTGGTGTGGTGTGCTGTGATGGTATGGCTGGTTTGCATTTTATATTCCTTTTCTCTTCAAAATGTTTGCATAGTTTCACTGCTGACAAACAACGCAGGGGGTAAATATTTGAGAGGGAAATGTTCTGGTTTTTTACTTTTTATCTAGAAGCTTGTTACATGAAGCTGAGGTCAGTCACTCTCAGAATACACACTGCTGATGTAAGACACAATTTCTCTACTCTTACAATAATTTTGGTACAAGTTGGGATCTACTGCCATTGCCAAAAAGGAGCAGGGGTGGAGGACCTGAGCAATCTGGCCTGCAGTTGTGGTATCCAAAGAATCCTCTAGGCCTTGGAGTAAGAACAGATAAAGCAGTAGTTATCTCATAGCATTTTTAATGTATCATCCTGTCACAGACAGTGTTTTGAAAAAATTTTGTTGGAACGGGGTTACTGAAGAGGAGCACACTGTACTTTCCTTTGTACTAAATATAGTTTGCATATTTCCAGTGCAAAGTTTTCCTATGAAACGTCCATTCTGATAGTGAAATGTTTACCAGTGGGGGTTTACTCCAAAACACCTATTGGATGTACACCTCTCCCCCTAATAATTCAATGGCAGCTGGAATGTCAAGTTCACTGCTTGTCTCAAAAAGCATCCCTGTCCTGCAGCCTTCACCCAGAGTGTTGGCTTATCCATCTTTTCCTCTAGATTCAGTGCTGAAGAAATCCCAACAATCCATTTCCAAAACTGTAGGCCAAAGTACCTCTGTGAAACACATGCTTTGCCTGGAAAAGGAACTTATTAGGCTCAGAAGTATCAGAATTATGGGAACATTTCATCTGCCCTTGTAAAAGGAGCAAGGTGCCCAAGTAGATGTCACTTGAATGCAAGGAAAATTAGGTTCTGTGATAGAACTGGCAGTTATATTTAGCTGTAATTCTTAAAAAAAAAAAAAAAAAAAAAAAAAAATCACATGTGCAATTCTGTCTCTGCAAAGAGATTTTTGTCCTTACAAAAGTTAAATCAAAAGTTAAATTTCTGTACCCTAACTTTGGTTTTGATTCTTTTACTGTTATTAAACGGTGGTAGGAAATATGTTTGTGGGAATTTGAGGTGTACAAATACTTTTAGATTGAATTCCAGCAAGATACAATTGTGAGGCAGAAACAAAGAAAGTCTGGTGGGGAAAAAAATGATCTGAGAAGTAACTAAACACATTTTTGGTGCTATCAAAGTTGACCTTGGAAAGATCAATTAAATAGTGACAGGGTCATGGAGTAAAGGGAGATGGCTATAAAAATTATTATGGCAAAAGCAGGTAATATTTCACATTAATATTTTAAAGCAATGCAGAGTGGATGAAGTGGGAGGGGCAGATGAGGGAAGGCAAGGCTTTGTTTTAGCTGGGGAGCTGTCAGCTGATGGATGGGTTTAAACTGAGTTGTCTGTAAGCAGGAACGTGCAGGGAGTGGAGTCATTTTGAACCATGCTTTTTTCTCAGCTTTAAGAACATTGTGTACCAGATTGCAGACGCTGTGAGCAATCTGAATTGTGTATTTATTTTATCTTTCCCTCTTTTAAAAACAACAGAGTAAGCCAGTGGGGAAAGGCAGCAAGTACCAAACGCTGCCAGGAAAGCTGCCCCGAGCCCTGCAGAACGGAGAGCAGGGGATGTACAGCTCCCCAGAGGGATGTGGCACCAGTGACAACGATGACAACGGCGTCCCTGGCCTGAGTATGTACCTGTGCCTCTGCCAGGGGGAAAATCCAGACTGTTTGAGGGGCTGGGACATAGCATGGGATGGAATCTGCTGTGCCAGAACCATGCACTGTGATGTTCACGTGGTTCATTTAGGGAATGTCCTACTAATTATTGCTTTTATTTTTTTTTTTTTTAACAAATACCAGAAACATTCACGTATTTTTTCCCAAATATTCCCAAAATTTCCCATATTCTGCTCGTGGCAGAATGAGGGATGAGTTTAATTTTGACGGTTTTTTTTCTGTTGCACCTGACAATGCCATTAGAAACTTCACAGTACAACCATCAAAAACATGAACATTTTGGGTAAAAATCCCTCTATCAGCACTGCTGGTTGCTTAGCTGTGGAGGACCCACTAGTGAAAATTTAATTTACTGCATGCAGAAAAGCATCCATGGATTTTGAAACTACAAACATATTTCCATTCCACAGCCACAGCCCTGTGGAATCCTGAATTAATTTCTTTTCAGTGGCACCTTAAGCACAGATTTGTAGACAAAAAGGAGTTAAGAGTGATGCACAGGGCCAAGTATTTTTTTAGGACTGAAGGGCTTGGGAGCTCAGGCACAAGAGTTACCCTTGTGATTCTGAAGTCTTCCTGCACTTAAAAAGTTACAGTGGGTTTTGGTTTTTGTTTTTTGGTGGGGTTTTTTGGTTTTGGGTTTTTTTGGGTTTTTTTTTTTTGCTGTAGTTCTTTTTCTTTGGTGAGGATTGGTTAATTTTAAAGCCTCATGGTCCCTAAAGCTGCTAGCACATTGCAGTTTCAAGGTTGCAATAGGTTGTGGCTGTTTAGGGGTTTTGAAAGAGCTTTTTTTTCTGTGATGGCAACTTTGCAGGCAAAGCATGAGCCATGCTGAAGTGTCTTTAACTGCAGGATTATCCAAGGGTGGGTGAGCTTGAAAAGGAAAATTATCTTTTTTCTAGAAACAAGCAATGGCTTCTTAAATACAGAGAATTTTTTCTGCAGGTAGTTTTGTTTCTTGCACGTGCAATGAATTCATTCCACCTCCAATTCTGTATTTCAGAGCAGTTTGATGCAATCTTAGCCACTGCTTCATTTCAGATAATCTGCAGGCTTCATAGAGCTCTCTAGTCTTTCCTTAAAGAGCTGAAACTTTCCAAGAATAATTAGGAAAGCTCAAACAGATCCATTTCCATCCTTACCTCTTTAAGATGATCTGTACAGAGTTCTTGGGGCTTGTGCATATTCACTGCCACGTCGAGCATAACTGCTTCTTTTACTTTTTGTTCCTGCTTTTAATGCTTAGCTTAACTACTTTGCCCTTCTGTAACTTTATTTTGCTGGTGTTTTGTATCTTCTTTGCTTCTCCATCTGGCTTTCTGCTTCTTGGGATGACTGAAGATCGCGGCAGGAGTGTCAGTGCACCCGTGTTAGGTACTGTATCCACACAAGATGCAACTTGAACACTCAGTTTGCTGCTTACTTTGGTTTTTTTCCTTTCCCTCTCCCTTTCCCTATGAAATACTAATCCCAGCTGGGCCCTCTAGACTGAACTCCTTACGTGCAGTACTGAAATGAAGTAATAGCTCCTGCTGTGTGGCATTCACATGGGGTTTCTTTTTGTGACAGTTATTCCTGGTTTCATTCTGTTTTCACTGAATTTAGAAAAATTCCCACTGATTTTGATGGAGTTGAGGTATTAAGAGCAGGCAAGAAGACCTGAAATTAATTCAAATAACGTAGTTCAATAGAAAAGACTGAAATAACAGAATTATTTTACCCAATGTTTTATTATTTTCTTTTTTTTTTTTTTTTATCAAATGTCCAGCTGTTTTTTCACCTTCTGAGCATGTTTGGTTATTTTAAATAAAATAATAATTTTGTAGGTATCTGTACTTTTGTATCATGTCCTGCATTTAAACATCAGCCTCCCAGACAACAACTCTATCAGTAATGAGTATAAAATGTGACTATAATACTGTTCTTAACCCAGGAGAAACAGAGAACATGGATGGCTCAGTGGTCTCAGATGACCTTTCACCTCTCTCTTCGGGAACGGATTCAGGTCCACAATCTCCCTGGGCTCCAGAAAACAGAAAGAATCCAAAAGGGATCAAGAAAATCTGGGGGAAGTAAGGTCATTTTTGTTTTTATTCACTGTCAAAGCATTTCAGCTGAGAATGAATTCCCAGAAAAATCTACAGTTATCCATAGCAAGAATAACCTAAAATTTGGGGAGAGAAAGCAGTTCTGGGATTGCACAGGTGTGTCCATATCTACACAGGGGGGTGGAAAAAATGTTGGGAGTGTTCACAGCATCATGCTGGTGAAAGAAATAAGGCACTGCTGTCATCTTAATGCTATTAATTTAGCATGCCAGCAGTTTCATTAGCCATGAAAAATTAAATTGTAGCAATTTGCTCATTACGAAAGACACCAGGTAAAAAAAAAAAAAAGGGAAAACAGAAGGAACAGAAAGCAGGGCACAGTTGCACTGTGTCCACTTGATCTGCTTCAGCAACAGCAGCCATTTCCAAGTCTGGATTATTAATTGGATCAAAGTGTTACAGCTGCTCTGCAGAGCTCCTTTATTTTCCCCCAGAGTTAGGGCCAGACCGAATTTCCTAGAACCCCTTCAGCTGCCTCCGGAATTTGGCATTTGCGGTTTCCAGGGAGATGCACAGTTAGTTGTCACTGTAGTTTCCATGCAGAACAAACATCCTCTGTCAGCAGCTAACAGTCCTGTCGTGGCACTCTTGTCTTGCAAGAATACGAAGAACTCAGTCAGGTAACTTCCCTGCAGACGACCTGGGCCTGGCAGAGTTTCGCAGGGGAGGTCTCCGGGCTACAGCTGGACCTCGCTTATCCCGATCCAAGGACACCAAAGGCCAGAAGAGGTAAGAGCTTGTTACGTTTGCCCAATTATCCAATCACAAATAAAAGGCCAAACAAAATTGAATGTAACAATAATTTTAATGAAATTTAAATGAAATAGTTTAAACTATATAAAATTGAATACATTCAATAAATGGGCAGTATAATATGGTTATAATAAAATATAGTCTGGTTCGGGTAATGACGCATAAGCAAAATTACCGCGGGGTACGGAGTGCGAGGGCCTTGGGACCCCTGCCACCTCACGTACCAGCTTGCCAAGCCCAAAATTCCCCCCTTTATACTGTCTATTATCAGCATCCCCTCCTATTTTCGATTTATTACACTGGTGTCTCCACCCTCATCTTCATCTTCACCGCGCATGCGCCACCATCTTTTAGGGGTCGCACCTCTCTTTGGGGGTCGTCCAGATGAAGGCCGCTCCTCTTCCTCAGGTGTCCTTTATTTCACCTTTGGGTTACACATGCACACCAAGCTAATATCATATATGCCAAAACCAAAATTGTATAAGCCAATATAATAAATCTTGTAAATTAACATATTTCTGATTTCCACCCAAGTTTTCCCTCTTTCAGTTAATTTTAGCAAGCTTTATCTGACTCCCTCTCCTGCCTCGAACATCTGCAGAAGATAAAGGGGGGGCAGACCCTTCCCCTCCGCTTTCCTAGCTTTTTACGTTTTTAACCATTTTGTTATCTCCAAATATTGATTACTGTATCCATATTGATTACTGTTTCAATTTTATCAGCACGAATCACACCTATTTATCACAAGCTCCTCCCCCTGGCACAGCCTGGTGCTCTTGTGCCCAGCAGCCCAACCATCCTCTTGGGGACTTTGGTCCACATGGAGTTCCACAAGAGCTGGAACGAATTTCCCTGGCGGCAAAATCATCCCCTGCCTGCTCTCCTCCAGCTGCAAGTTGCAGCTGCTGGGTGGAGTGTCACAAATTTCACCTTGTTAAAGAACAAGGATAATAATTACCTCCTCATCTGCATAACGATGAGGATTCAGCAATTCCCTTTTCCCTCTTTTCCAACAGAAGACGGGGAATTCTTATCTGCCCTGCAGCTTTTCACAGGTTGTGGCTGGGCCGCCAAATTCCCAGGACACCCCAGAACTCAGCACCCTGACAGATCTGCTGCTGTGCTGCCTCTGGCACACCGTGAGCTTTCCAATAGGGGCATTCCTTCTTTCCTTTAAGATTTTCCCAATGTTTCTTGTACTTTTCAGCGACCACAATGCCCCCTTTGCTCAGTGGAGCACTGAAAGAGTTTGTAACTGGCTGGAGGACTTTGGCCTGGGCCAGTACGTGATTTTTGCCCGGCAGTGGGTGACATCAGGCCACACGCTGTTAACTGCCACACCTCAGGACATGGAAAAGGTAATCACTGCTTCTCTCTTCCTGCTGGTTCTGTCCCACCAGGCCCCTCCTAACCATTTGCTCTACCTTTCTGAAATCCACAGTATCAATTTTCATAGTTACCTCACATGAGGAAAGGAGCCAGAGGCAGGGCAAACTTTTTGTTAATGTTTTTTTATTGCAGGAAATGGGAATAAAGCATCCACTGCACAGGAAGAAATTGGTTTTGGCCATTAAAGCTATAAATGCAAAACAAGATGAGAAGTCTGCACAACTTGATCATATCTGGGTGACACGTAAGTGTTTGGACTCTCCCGGAGTTGGTTGGGAAGGAATTTCTCCCACCTCTATGAGAGGGCAGCCTGATTCATGTCCAAGCACTTATCAGACATTTTTTTAAAGCACTAAGTTTCCCCGTAGAAGAATTGAGGATTTTTGTGCTGTTCTTGACATCCAAACGTACAGCTTGTGGTATGCTCTCCCATGGGGAGCTCTGTCAGACAGCAGGAAATCAAATGGGTGGGCTCAGTCTGGGAAGAGCTCCATGCTGCACGAGATGTGCTCCAGCACAAGTTGTATGCCAAATATCACAGGGCTGCTGTGGGCACAGCTGGTTGGTGGGAATTGCTTTCAGGCTGCTGGCAAGAGGCTGTCCTCAGGAGAGGGGAACAGGTAGAATGAGCCACCTGAATGCCTCAAAGGAAGCCAGGCCAGGCAAGAGGGGAGAAGGGCTTCATTCTCACCGATCTGGATTTGGTTCCCCATTGCTCTCATGTCTGCAGGGTGGCTGGATGACATTGGCTTGCCTCAGTACAAAGACCAGTTCCATGAATCCAGAGTAGATGGGAGGATGTTGCAGTACTTAACTGTGGTAAGTACAGTGCTTTTTCCTCAGTTTTACCAATTTTAACTTCTGAATAAGCAAACACTTTTAAAATTTTGCTTTGAATGTGAGCAGTTAAAGAATTTTTGCAAGACAGAAATAGTGCCAGTAATAATTCCTTTGTGCTGCCCAGTGTATGGAGTTTGTTCCTAAGGTCCATAAAATAAGTCACATGTTAGGGCTAACTTCTGCAAAGTCCTTCTTTCAATATCATGTAGCACACCACAATTAAAAGTAAAACGACTTGTTTTACCTGTAACCTCTGGAGCTTGTTGTTCTTCGCACCAAGCTAACAACAATATTCAGCAAAGTAACAGCAGAAAATCCAGTGATTTGTACAGCTCTGACCACATCCACAGCACACCATGAACACACAGCCACTGTTTTCTTCCTATTCTTCTGCCCAAGTCTGGCTAATTAAGGCCTGGATTTGTCTTAACAGGCTACACTCCTGCCTTCATTTTTTAGGCAGGTCTTGCTATGATGCAATGTTAAAAAAAAACCCAACAAACCAACAGCAGAACCCCACCCAAACTTCCACCCTAATAAAACCCAAACCCTCTTTAAAGTATAAACTTTCATCTTTCCTAAACCACAGTTACTGTAGTGTTATATAAAACTACACAGCAAATTTAAACTTTTTCTTCTTGGGGAGAATATCTGTTTTGCTGTGCGTTCTGTGCCACCTCAAAGTCTCTCTATTTCACAGAACGACCTTCTCTTCCTGAAAGTCACCAGTCAGCTGCATCACCTGAGTATTAAATGTGCCATTCATGTGCTGCACGTCAACGGCTTCAATCCCCACTGTCTGCGCAGGAGGCCAGTTGAGGAGGTAAAAGAATGTTGAAATAAGTTACTTTCAGCAAGTACAAATTACCTGGTCCCAGCCAAAGGGGATAGAAAGTGTACTGTGATACAACAGAATCATTGCTTCTAGGGACTTACACCTAAGCAGCAGTTACATCACTTTTTAGTTGAATCTCATGCATTTCTCTTCAGAAGTTACTTGCATAGTGGAAAAAAAAAGTTAATTCATCTTCCAAGAGAATAATTTGGAGTGATTTTTCTTCACCTGACCTAATTTCTAAAATCTGTACAGTTTTACCTGATCAGCATTTTTTTCTTAGAATGTTTAATGCTAAGAAATACTGTCAATAACCCTGTTGTCAAACCATTCCCTTTTTATCCCTGCAATCTGTAATCTCTGCTGTTGTACTTCCTGATGCAACACATGGGGTTTCATCAGTACTAGACTGGGTCTGCCATCTCATCATAGACTGCTTGAAAGGGGCCTTGAAGAGAAGCAATCCCTCAGTCAGGGAAGGCTGGAGGAAGCCCTTGGAGGAAGAGGAGGGAGGCTGTTTTTATCTGAGCTGAGATACGAGCTGTGCACACTCAGTGCAGGCTGTGGTGTCATCACCTTTTGTGGTCTCTCCAACAGAACAATGTCTCTCCTTCCGACGTGGTGCAGTGGTCCAACCACAGGGTGATGGAATGGCTCAGATCAGTGGATCTGGCAGAATACGCACCCAACCTTCGAGGCAGCGGAGTGCACGGGGGCCTGATCGTAAGAATTTACCATTTCACTCTTGAAAATTGACAGGCTGTAATGTGAACCATCTTTTGTCTGATGTTCATCCAGCAGAAAGAAACAAACACGTCTGCAATGTGACAGCGTGATCAGGCCTTCTAAGGAGCCTCTTTGTCTGATCCACGTGTCTTCATTTTACAAAGGAAAGCCAAAATAAAAAAGGAACAGCTAAAACACTTTCTGTAATCAAAGCTGAGCTCTGCACGAGTGTATGACAGCAGCACAGAAAAGGAAACCTCAGCTGTGCAGTGCAAAAGTTGCTTTTTGATAAGGAATCACTGAGTGTTTCTTTGAGTGATGTACCAGAACTCTGAGCCACACTAAATAACCGCCCTGAAACCACAGCAGTCAGGAATGACATTTTTTTAATTCAAAACATTCAGAACTATTTGCAGCTCAGTAATGTCAGGGTTCTGAAATACCATGATTCTAATCCTGTAGAATTTTTGCAAAAATACAATTGTAGAAATCATACACAGATTAAGTTTTTACCCTGAGCAGAGAAGAAAATTCTGAAAGGAAACTTGTTCAACCCAAACAAATGCATGGTTTGATGATAAATATAAACACATATTGATGGATTTGATGATAAATATAAACATATATTGATGAGTTTGATGATGAATATAAACACATATTTGCCTGATCACTCTCAGCATTTTTTCTTGGCTCCTTTCAGGTATTTCCCATTTAAACCCCAGTATCATGAATGAGCTATAAAAGGTCTAATGTGAACAGGTACTTAGTGAGAAATCCTCTGCTAAGCACTGTAATAGTTTATTATTGCAAATATTTATATAAAAAATAAACATCCTGCCCTTTTCCCAGATTCTGGAACCTCGTTTCAACGGCGACACGTTGGCCATGCTGCTGAACATCCCACCCCAAAAGACCCTCCTGCGCCGCCACCTCACCACCAATTTTAACGTGTTAATTGGGCCAGAGGCACAACAAGAAAAAAGAGAAACCATGGAGTCAGCAGCATACACACCTCTGACCACCACTGCCAAAGTTCGGGTAGGTGCTGCTGTCAAAAAGGAGATGTCAGTGTCAGACTTCTCTGCTCTGAATTATGAAGAAAGTAAGGAACAAAGGTGGGTAGGGAGAGGTGAATTACAGGAGTGCTACATTTCCCTTAATTCTATATACCAGACCTTTTACTATGTATCTGTTTCAATCAGGTCCTGAAAACAACCAAACAATCTGTTCTGCTTTTCCTTAGAAGGAGCATCATGTAAACACATTTGACATCCGCTGTAACTCCAGTGTGAGAACAAGTGTAGTTCGTTCAGAATCTACGTTCTTGAATGACCAGGGTATAGCAGTAATTGAAAAAGGGGAAGATTTTGAATGTTTACAGAACAACTTTACTCAAACTACTTGTGTTGACTCCTTATTTTAGCCAAAGAAACTTGGATTTTCGCATTTTGGAAACTTAAGGAAAAAGAAGTTTGACGAATCAACAGACTACATTTGTCCTATGGATACAAGCCCTGCTGCTACGAATGGTACTTCCAAAAACTACAGTGGCTACAAAGGACTTAGTCCTTTCACTGACAGGGAACTGGATCAGGTGGGACAGACAGAGTGATGCCATGCTCATCTCATCCTCTCCATGCATTCCAAAGCTTGCAAATAACCAAATGTTCCCCTATAACAAACTCTTGCTACATCCGCATGAACTCACAGAGAAAAGTATTGGCTGTGGACACTGGAAAGGGTTCCAGACTAAGAATGTTGGGGTTTTTTTAATCAACATCATAATAAACTCATCCATCCTCGAGCCCTTTTTCAGGACTATGACACCTTTACACTCTGAAGATTGAGGTATTTTGTCAGTCAAGGGTGTGGTTGCAGGAAACATAAGACTTTTGTACTTCCAGCTTTCATAATTTTAGTATGGCACACTATTTTTTTTTCATTATCTTTATGGGTGGTTTTTAATGTAATAAATTCATTTGGACAAACTTGTACAAAGCTATCGAGTTATATTAAAGTACAACTGGATTGTATTTTTTAATGAGCAGTAATCAGATTCCAACTGAATTTTTTTTCATGGTGTACAGTGGGGAGTAGTTCTGCCTAGATAATACATGTGAAGAAAATGCATCAGCAATTAACAAATTATTAATAAACCAATCGTTAATTCACTTTTGCAATGTAGTAGTGAACTTGTGAATGAAACTGTCTAGACAGCATACAAAGAAATTGTGATAAAACCATCAAATTTTATTTCAACTTTGCTGTTGTGTAAAGGGATGTAAAACCCTGAAAAACGGAGCGCTCCTGGAGCCTTGTGTGAACTTCAGCAACACACAAGAGCCACACAGAGGCAGCTGGAGTAAACTGGCCTTTCTCCACTGACATAAAAACAGTTTAAGCCTGATAAGAGAATGGTCACAACATTGAAAAGACTAACTGTGAAGGTAATTTTTTCATTTGCATGGTTCAGTGCATCTAACATCTCATTTGTGTTCACTGGCTAACCATGGCCTTCTTCAATGTACTGCTGCTAAATAGGGAGAAACCCTGACTGTGAGTGTGGATGTCCACTTGCTCAGCTCAGAGTTGTGAGAGAAGAGCCAAGAAGTTGTTGTTTGAGCCAAGAACTTGCACTGTGCAGTTGTTCCAGCATGACAGAGAGACTGGATTTTTCTCTAGGAGCATGGTCTGTCTATTAAGCATGACACCTGAGCATGTGGTCCACACAGGAAATCACAATGCCCTAGAACTGGTGACATTTCTGTGTAAAAAGAGGTCAGATTTCTTGCCTGTGAAAGCTTACCAGAAATGAGTAGTGTCAGACCATTCAGAAAATATTACTTCTCCTTGATAATATCAGTTAAGCTTTTTTATCTTTCTGTGAATTAGAGGCCAAGTTTCATGGAATCAATCTCTCTTAATCAGGATCCACTCTTCCTATCATTAAATGCATTTTCACATACCTTGTACCACGGAGGCATTTTTGTAAAGGAGCTTTTCGACTTACCCCAGCTTCATTTGTCCAGGCACAGATCCCTCCCAAAGCTGCATGTAGAGTGAATAAAATTGCACATGCTGTCTGATTTGAACTAGTTGCTGACTGCTTTTACAGATGGAACACTCAGAAGGCACAGTAATGCAAATAGGGGCACTTTCCCAAGGCATAACCCACCTCACGGTAAGTACTCATTCCTCTCTTGTTCCGGTCACCCATGTGCTCTCCTAAAACTCTCTGAAAGTTGGTCATTGCTAGTGGTAATGAAGAGTAAGTGGGTCCCTGTTCTTGTGAAGTATCTCATTACAGCCTATTGGAACATTCAGCCAAAAACATAACAAAAAAAAAAAAAAAAAAAAAAAAAAAAAAAAAAAAAGCCCTGTTTTTAAATTGCTGTAGAAATTCAGCTTCATTTAGGCCTAAGTTTTCATGAACTCTGATGTCTCTTCGACAAAATGACTGATATTCATCTCCTTAAATGAAAGCAATTCTTCAAAGATTTTGCAGGTAACCACCACCTCAGTCACAGCAGCTAAGAATGAGGTACAGACTTTTGGAAATTTACATGAGCTACAACTCTGTGCAAGACAAAACACCTCGCTCTTGCTTCTTCATTCCACAAAGCCAATGTATTAAATAATAAAAATAAGTGACTGGAAGACATAATGAAGAATTATGAAGTACAGTTGAGTTGCATGCCAGACACAAAATCTCTAAAAATTTCCCCAAGCAAAAAAGTTTACTTAAAGCTGTATTGAAGAAATTCCCTTTGTGTGTGGCTCCCACCCCTTGTGTTGTGAGCTGGGTCTGTGGGAGCACAGGCCTCTCACCAAACACCTCAGCCCTTCCCATCTTGCTCTTTCAGACACTGCTGAGCCAGGATGAAATGCTGAATGACAGCAGGTTTTTAACACCGACCTTTGAAGACTGGAGATGATGCTTCAGCAGGACCAAGATCACTGCTTGCACCTCAGGCCTGCAGGAGTGGCCAGGAGCAGCTGGATGCCGTGGAGCAGGAAAGCTTTACCTCTTTTCTGCCACTGCCACCTCCCACGTAGCATGTCCTACCGTCAGTGTAGCCACACCTAACAGGTAACTCTCCTCTGTGCTGTTTGCCCATGTCATGTAATAGGAAACAGGAGTTGGGAGAGGAGTGGGACTCATACCAAGAGTCTGGAAAGCCAAGACTGGCAATGCTTTGTCCATTTATTCAGATGACTTTTACATGCTATGTTGATGTACTGTTATGTGAAAGACCTTTTGTAATTTTTTATTTTTATAATTAACTTGTAGTGCAGGAATCATTACTACATAATGGTACCATGGGGGCTAATCAGAGCTACCTGGAAATCAGCTGGTGAGAGCAGCAGTAATGGCTCACTCACCACTTCTGTGGTCCTGCCAGACTAGTCCCCAGAAATTATTTCAATCTTTCCTCCCTTTCACTGGCACCTGTCCTGCCCTCTCTTTATCCAAGTCAGTGCACTGTAGGATGGGAAGAATGGAACACAGTACTGTCCATCCAGCCCTTGCTTTTATTAGGATGACAAGCTGCCATGTTCACAAATCTTTACCTAAGGCAAAAACAACTGCAGCAGGAAATTGTAACTCTGAGACTACCAGGGAAGTTCCAGAATGAAAACAAAGATTTATTTCTTTAAAACACCTGACAAAATAAATCTGTTACTGCTGTACTGGGCTACACAGGATTGCATCAGAGGGAAATATGGCCTCTCACTTTTTGAGGGGCTGAGGGTGAAGTTGTCACCTTTACAGCACCAATTATTTGTGGCATTTGTTTACATGTACATTTCCTGTGTTAATGAGCTATTAACAAGCTCTCTTAGTAAACAGATAAATGCCAGAAAAAAAAAATCTCCTGAACTGTAAAGAAAAGTACTTTGTACAGGGCTGGTTTGCATGACTCTCTCCTTGCTGGCTGCAGGTGTTGCTTTAGATTCCAATATAGCCTGAGGGCAGGTCACTGCCAGCCACAACCCTCCCAAAGAAAGAGGAAAGCTCCAGGGCTGGCCACAGGATGCAGCAAGGGCTCTTTGAGAACTACCTGGGGTGCTTTTTACAGATGATCTACCCTGATCCTCACTTCATCAGTCTCTCATGACAGACCTTGCACTGTATAAGGTGTAAGAAGATAAGCACGTGATTTGAGTGGTAAAATCAAGACAAGTTCTTTTCAATCAGTGCAAACTGAAAAAAAGGTAAATTCAGAAGAGTGAGAAATCAGTTGATGCATCAGCAAACTACTGATGTTTAATAAAAGGTATTAAATGTACCAGTGTGGCAATGCAGTCAGTGCTAGCTCAGGTAGCACAGACATTTGAAATACCTTGTCAGGTCGATTAGCCAACAGACTTATTACAGCACTGCAAATGGGATTGGCTGCTCCAGCTGCCCTGGGATATTCCAAACACAATCTTTCCTGTTTTCTTTCAATGCTGTATTTACAATCCAGTGTGTTGTTGTGCTAACTTGGCTGTGAATAGTCAATCCATAAAACAGTTGAGTCTTTTAAATATACGTAGCAAGAAATCCTAATTAGCATAACACTGGTATAAATGCTTATTTTTTGACTGTTATGAATAAATTCTGAATGTTCCTCTCTCTTTTATTGCCTGTGGAATGATTTAACACAAATCCATGTGGATGGCCATTCATCTTTATTTTTTTCCCCTCAGAATTAATTAGTATAAAAATACTAATTGCAGAGGTAAGACTAAGTAACTCCCACAAAATTTAAGACAATTTCTCAACTTCTTAGTATTAAAACACACAAGGTAATTATGAAGTTATAAATCAGAGAAATTACATCAAGATGTTAAAAAACACACACACATACAATTGCTGCACAGTTGCACATCAACTGTTCCTGTAGAAAAATACGCAGTACTTCCAAAAAAGGTATCAGGTGACATCAGTGTCAGTAAGCAAATGTACTGCTCTTGGGATAGCCAAGCTTGTCCAGGTTGGGCTGACAGGCAAACTGAATCATTGGTGGTGGCCCACACATGAGAATGAGGGTCTCGCTGCCAGGAGGAGGCAGGTGGGCTTTCAGCATGTCTGCAGTGACAAAGCCAGAGCTGTACTTCCAGTCTGCAACAAAGAAATGAATTCAATTACTTTGAATCTCTGTACAAGCTGAAACCTTTTTAAACCTCATTAAGTAGCAGAAGAATCAAGTTGTGGCACCATCACTGCAAGCCAGGAGAGGGTTAAATGTCTCACTCAGCTCAAACCTAGTGATCCCCTTCCAAAGGGACAACAAGCATGTAGATAACAAGGATTTGGTTGATAAGACATGGAGGTCTTAAAACAATAAATTATAAAACTTAAAAGAAATGAGCAGATAGGAATAAAAAGGAAGAGTGAATCAGCTTTTCCAATGAAGAGGAGTCACCCAGTGGCAGGGAGGGGTATTGAGACCTGTACTTTTTGTTTTTTGAGATGGAGTGGTGAGGTGACATAGTTTGGTGTCAACAAAAGCTCTGCCATGTCATTTAGTGATAAGAGAAAACAAATTAAAAGAGGAAAGAAATGCTGAATTATTTCAAGCAGTAGTATTATTGAATGCATCTGCCTCTTGAAGTGAGCCAAGAAGGAAAATGATGCTCAATCCATACACACACAGCTCTGTTTCACCAGAATCTAACCTGGAGCTGCTGCAAAACAAAGATGTGCACGTACTATTTACAGGTGTTAAACAATTTAATCAACAACATGCTAACATAACCTGATTTGGGAGATAGCCCAAAACAGAGCTGAACTTTTGATGGAACTCCCAAAAACTGGAATACATGAAAAGATGCATTAGATAACACATGTGACCCAAATTTAATTATGAGCTCCCAATTTTTAAGGCCCAACTGGCTTAGATCCCTTTTTAAAACAGGGTGTGAGGAGTAAGGTTTGTTTCTGAGGAGTTTCAAAGTGTAAGACAAGAACACTTGGCATTACTCTGCTGTCCCCTTGAGCAAGAGTGAAGCTCTGACAGGGATAAGCAAAGGCATTTCCACGGGTCCTTACCTTTTGGAGGTCTGTCCAGGGTGTACCACAGCACAAACTGCTCAGGGTGCCTCTTGGCAATGTCTTCTAGCTCAGTTCTCAGCAGTATATCATTTTCTGTCTGCAAAATGAGAGTGCTGGTTAGCTCCAAACCATCCCAGGAGCCCTTTGATGGGAGCTCACCTGCCATCCACAACAAATGCAATGATAAAAATTATGCAAATCAAGAAAGTAATTAGTATTTTGCCCCTTCCATGATAGCTATTATCATGACAGGCTTCTGTAAACAACAACAAACTGTGAGACTTAGCAGTCACCTAAACACAGTCCTAAAGATGGCATTGGAATTGGAATAACTTTTTAATCCAGGCTAAAATCACAATGAGCTGGATTTGTCCCTGATCCTGGCAAATTTGGCCCTGGCAAATGTCCCTGGACCAGCATGGTGAAGGTTAGCTCTACAAACAGATTAATGGAAACAATTCCTGTTTCCTTGAAATCAGTGAAGGACTAAGATGAGCAAAGGGATCAGGATCTGGCTGAAGTATTTACTCCCTAATGTAGGAATTCAGTGAAACCACGAGGAGACAGCTAAGTGTGAAAGAGTGTGAAACATGGGCCATCAGTTTAAAAAGCTCAGAAACCAGCAAAACCAAGTGGGCTATTAAAGAAGAACAAACAGATGGGTCAGAATACTCACCTGATTAGCAAAAAGGAGGTAACATTTTGTGGAGTCCTTAGGATCATTTGTGATCTGACGGATCAGCTGCAACATAGGAGTTATTCCTGTTAAAAACCAAAAGGGTTAAAGTGGTTATTTCTTTCCATGGCTACAGTTTCACTATTAATGCTGCTTCCCTTCAGTCTTCAACAGGATCTCAGTCTGCACAGGGCTACACACCTCTGGATTTCTAATCCACATGGTGTGCAGAGATTGGAGGTTTCCATTATGACAAACAGCTCCAAAACAAACCTACAATTCTTGTATGCAGGGCTTTTCTCTTCGGGATTCTCCATCACATAATTTTACCCCTCAAGACATGTTCTTAAAATACTTTTTGTCACCGATGAAGTGAGTTCTCTGAGGTCATAAGGTAAATTAGGATTCAAACCCTCAGGCTGCCACTCCCCAGGACTGAGCTCAAACCACTGGAATTGCTTCAGTGTTGCCACCATGAAAAGAAATCAATGAAAAGAAATGCAGGTGTACATACTCTGCTACTAAAGTACAATGACAGTCCTCACATATATCCGTGGAACATTTTCATTCTCTTAGACACCCCACACACCCTTACCTGTTCCTCCAGCTATCATCCCAAGGTGCTTTGCAAACTTTTTCTCTGCTTCAGACTTCTTATTAGGCTTGATAAGAAAGGTACCTAGAAGAAATATTCCAAACAAACATGGACACAAATTTCATGGGAATAAATTACCACAGGTGATCAAGTAATAAAAAAAATTTTCTGGAAATCCCTCCCTTCTGCTGTGATAGAATCATCAGGAGAGAGGTCAGCATCCAGAGAAGTGCTGAGCACTCTGAGGTGAGACTTAAGTGCACAGTTCCTCTCTGGCAAGATCAGTGCAAAGTCTTTCACTTGTATCCTACAAGAGGATTACTTCTCTGAGCTTATTTCCTCACAGTCAACTCAGACCTGGTGTTATGATGAAATGGAGCTGGCTCTCAGTCAATAACAGCACTGAGATTCTCAGAGGACATTTTAAGCAACAATCTCACTTGCTTAAGAAGCATCTGGAGCATCTCCCTCCATATGTATAGCTGAGCTATTTTATTTCCAGCGCAGATTTCTCAGTCATATAATGCAATAGCAATTTTTTTCAGTGTTATAGTCCCAGGAGTGAGACACTCATCAGTTACTCCATACACAAAGTACCCTTTCCCATCATATCAACTCTGACAGGCTCATGGTCAAGTCTAGGAAAGGTGGTTTTTCCTCTTTTCCACTTAAAGAAAAAAAAAAAAAAAAGAAGATTCTCTATAGGTGTCAAGTTTTATAAAACACCTCTGAAAATAACCAATACTTCCCTTTTGATCTCCCACCTTTGTGTGTCACAGTACCTGCCCCCTTATAGACCAGGAGTCCATTGGGCCCTCTGAAATCAATGGTGTCTCCAATCTTCATGTTATCTAGATACTGGGACATCTTCCCACCTTCTGGAAACTTGGGGTTCACATTTTTGTAGTAGACCTGTAAGAACAATCATTTGCATATTATCAACCACTAACTTTCCTGCAGACAGTATCTGTAGAACACAATTGTGCAGGTCTGAAATTCAACACCTGAGAAAGAAATCCAGGCAATTCTTTGCTCTCAGTTATCTCTTGAGCCTTGCAACAGGAAACAGCCAAAATAAGTGAAATGTGCTATTGGGCACACATCCCTCTGCTCCCTGCACACAGCCAGGATAACAGGGATGGGTGGCAGGAAGATTATGTACTGCTGCCCTCATTTCACTATTGCCCTATGTCACCCCATTTTTGTAGCTGTTCCTTCTGAAAAGAGCATTGCTGCATCTTTTCCTTCTAAACCTTTCCTCCTCAGCCACAGAACAGCTTTTTCAGCTTCCAAAGCACATAAGAAGCATTACACAGCTCATAACAATTCACCACCCTTGTAACATGAAGAACAGAACATGCAAAAAATAATTTTTAAAAAGCGTGGATTTTTGCCTTTTTGGATTTTAAGGACAAACTCTATCATAGAAAAGGATTAGGAAATCCAGAAGTCCTGGGATCAGATAATCCTGCATCTCCTAGCTTAAAGGATTTCCCTTGTGTGACTTGTTTTCTGCTTAGAGCTGTTTGCATTAAGCATTAGCAACAGCTCAGGCATCTAGAGGGAGAGAGATCAGTATCCATGCACTGTTAAGTAAAAGATATTAGGGAAATTCCTAAAGTATTGCCAGGGAGATGATTCTCTCCTCCCTCTACTCTTCCTCTGCCATCCCTCAGTGCCACACAGCAGACACACAGGATACAACTTACTATTCAAGGGCAATGAGTTGTTTGCCATGCAGTCACCCTATTTGAAAAATATGAGATTAGATGAAAATGAAATTTAATGAAATTTGAACGAAAGACAATGAAATTTGATGACTAAATCAAAACAAACTATTTCACTAAAATGAAGTGCCTGCCCTCCTTCCAGTTAGCAACTTATCTCTATTAAAGGAAACCAAAATTTACCTTTATAATTAAATCAACATAACCTTTTGTCTCATCACTGGAAACTGGGGTATAGGCTCGAACCACCAGATTCCCATCAATTTTTGCAGAAAGGTAAACATGTTGGCCTGGGGAGAGAGAGTTACAATCTGATTATCATTTTCATCCCTGGAGGACAAGAGAGAAAGGCAGGCATTGTAACCTGCTACACGTGCAATGCCAGAGAAAATCCTTGCCATATAAATGCTCCATGAAACATTCCCTTTCTTCTCCTTTTTCAGCACAGAGCAGGAATCCTCCAGGAAGCAATATAGTTTCAGAATCTTATTCCTAAATTCTTAAGAATGAACCTGGATAAACACATGCACTGCAGGGCACATCTCAGCTGGTTTACCGATTGCCTAGTTAATTCCATTACTCTGTCCCATACAAGCCAGAAGAAAGTTTGGAGAAAAACAGGCAGCATGCAAGGACATGCTCACAGATGGAATGGGATGACCCTGACACCTGCCATACAGCACAGGGAGCTGCCAAACAGTGCAGAACAAACAGTGCCACATCTGCAGATCAGAGAGAGACTTTCCCCTGCACACCGATTTTCACTGATTCAAGGTCCAAGGTTCAGTACTATCAGTGTTCCAGGGCACAGGAAAGAAGGCCAATCCTAGGCTGAAATTCGTGCAGCTCCAGATAAAGTTGCATGGAAACGTGTGTAATTCAAAGGTAAGTGCATGCACAGGAAAGGCTCTGAATATTTCAGCATCTTCCCAGGCAGCAGAGTTGTCCCCTTTCTCCTTTACAAGTGTGACTGTATTTGCCAAAACCGTGAGGGCAATTGCCAATAGACTGAGGGGACCATATGGAAGTAGAAGGCAAATAAGAAACATGAAAAAGCTTTGACAGATACCATTCTTGCCTATATCCTGACTGGTGACAAATTCCATCAGGCTCAGTTCAGTTTCACTGCTCCATTTCTAACCTACACCACACAACTGGACAAAGCACTCACAAAAGATCAGAAATACCACCTTCTGGGAAACCTGGTATATAAACATTTTTCTCTGAGACAGGAGCATTCAGATGCAGCTTTCAACCCCTTGCTTTGCTGAGCCTTAAATTCAGTCACGAGTCCAAGAACTGTGAGAAACCAGAAATACATGTAATTGTTTACAGAACTTACCCACAGGTAATCCTAAAATATGATTCGTTGAGGGTAGCCCGAACCTGAATTTCTTAGTATCGTGACTGATTTCCTAAAAAACCAAAGTTAGAATGAGGTCAGCATCACCACTACAGTTGAATTTCGAACTCTACTCAACACAATATGCTTCAGCAAGCCTGCTCTTTGTTAGCATGCAAGCCAAATGCTGGGAAAGGACACAAAAACTGCTTTGAAAAACAAAGTTGAAATAACCAGGAATTTCAGAAGCAGTCTTCTGCTCTTTACATCCACAAGGAGTGACTTTTGCCTGCCTGCACAATCCCTACAGCATCTCTGCACAGATAAAACCAGGAAACCCTGTGCCCAAGGCCAGCGAGCACATCGCATGCTTGCGGCCAAAGATCAGGCAACACGGCCGTGCAGAAGCTCGGCTGCCGGGCTTGCTTCTCATGGGGCACCCAGGACAGGAATGCAGGGAGGAACTCAGCCGGCACTTCAACATGCAAAGCATCGGGAAACAACAGCTCGCACTGTGCCACAAACGCTTTTACACACCCCGCTCTACCCTGGGAGCACCACAGCGCGGCTGCGGGGGCACGGCCATTCTGGAGGGCTCCGTGCCCTGCTCTGGGGATTCGATCCCTGGGGTAGCTCACGGCCAAGAGCCTGCCAGGCCAGCGCACCTATTGCCCTCGGAGCCCCGATGCCCCATATCCCCAGAGCCCCGGGCACCTCCTTGTCCAGCAGCCGCAGCGGGTACTTGGCCTGCGGGTCCTGCAGGGTGACGGGGCTGCTCGGCCTCCGCGCCGTCCCTCGGAGCAGCAGCAGCAGCAGCGCGGACGCCGCCACCACGGCCACGGCGATGGCCACAGGCGCTCCCTGGGAGGAGAAGAAGGGCAGGCGGTGAGAGCACGGCGGCAGTGAGGGCACGGCCCGCCTCAGCCTCAGCCCCAGCCCCAGTCCCAGTCCCAGTTCCAGCCGCAGCCGCAGCCGCAGCTGCAGCCCCAGCCCCAGCCCGGCCCTCACCGCAAACGTCTCCATGGCGGCCTCGCCCGCAGCTCCCGCCGCACCGGGCCCGCTCAGCCCCGGCCGCGCAGATCCCGCCTGATCCTTCCTCGAGTTCCTCCTCGCGGTTCCGCCTCCTGACCCTTCCTCGGGCTCCGCCTCCCCGTTGCTCCTCCCGGCGCCGCCTGGGGCAGGGCGGCGCTGGGCCCGGGCGGTACAGGGAGCTCAACTACGCCCTCAGGGCGGGTGGGTTAGGCTGCCCCGGGAGCCGGATTCCTGGTTTCCCAGGATGGATTGGGTTGGGAAAGACCTCTGAGATCACTGAGGTCAAACTGTGACCGGACACCACCGTGTCAGCCAGCCCGTGGCACTAGTGCCGTGTCCGGCCTTTCCTTAAACACCTCCGGCGACAGTGACCCCGCGGGCAGCCCCTTCCAACGCTAAACAATTCTTTCTGCGAAGAAATAGAAAAGGAGGCAAACAAAGTTGAACTGGTCAGTTCAGATGAAGAAATAGCAGTATTTTTGTGCACCCAAGGCATGGCATTAAATTGATTCTTAAATGAGAAATAAACCTGCCCTCGTGCTGCTTCTGGAAAAGTGCAAGTGAAACAAAGCCAGGGTAAAAGAAAACAGGGAAGATCCAATGGGAATGGGGTTGTCGTGTCCTTTACCGTTCCAGAGCTAACCAGAACAACCTACGGTCACAGAGCCACGCCTAAAAACTAAAATAGAATCACATTACATGAACCCCGTTGAAAGTAATTTTTTTTTAATTTTTGTTTCTAATTGTGTTTGGTTGGGTTTTTTTAATCAAGATTTTATTTGCATCAGAAAACAGCTCACATTGTTGCTAAAAGGTACTGGCACATTACAAGAGACTAAAAAGTTGCCACAAACAAAAGCAAAACTAGGCTTTCTGTAAAATCATACTAGGTGAAACACAAAAAGCTAACAACAGAGCAAGCCAAGGAAAAAGTTAGTGCCATAACAATCAAATCAAAAGCAGACATTTTAAGATAGAATTTAAGACAGGAATTTTCATAAAAGATACCAATTTATCACTGTATTCAATATCATCACAGCTGATAGCATCTGTAGTTCTCTCTACATACTTTTTCCTTTTCTGAACACATCCTCTTGAAATCCTTAAATTAATAATAAAAATAATTAATAATTAAATTAATAAACAGATAAAAGTCACTGTGTTCCTGTTAAGCAAAACAGAATAGCAGCCACGAGATATTACACATCTGCTCCCAGCATAAACTGATACAGTCAGCCAATGGCAACTTCCACCATAACCAAACATTAATAGGCTTCTATGATAAAAATTTACAAAGGATATTTTCCCTCCATTTCTCTCTGACGAACTCTTCAGAGAGCTTGGCAAAGATAGAACACACATACTCTATCAATAATGCAACACAGCTCTTAATCTGAATCACTGAATCTCAATTTGCCCATAATCTTAATTTGCCCATAATCAATTTGTTAAGTATTTTCATAGCTTCACAAAAAACTCATGCTCAATATTTTGTGGGCTTTTGCCTCAAACTTTACAGTGAAGAGAAGAAAGTGGTGAAATATGTTTACCTTATTCATTGGAGAATACAGTCAGTGAGATTATTGTTTGCCCAGCTACAGAATAAAATTGAAAGTTTAAAAAAACCTAAAGAACCAAAGTTTAAAACTAATATAATAAGAAAGGAGCGTTACTGGCATCAAATGCTTGTCTGGGAAAAGCTTTCTAAACATTTTTGCCATTAATATCAACAAAGACTAAGTGAGATATCTTACCTTCTAGTTATTATCTGGACCATTGAGTCAAAGGAGGATTATGCTTGTGCTGCCTGTTGTACTATCCTACTAATCTAGTTTTGAACACTACAGCTGAGAGCAGCAGGGTCTGCAAGGCTAACTGGAGCCCGCCACCACAGATTTCTCTATCAGCAGCCTTTTGGACATTAAACAAACTGCTATTAACAAGTTAATTCATAGATTAATTAGGATAGCTATCAGTTCTTGCATGGTCCCTTGACCTGTCTTTTCAAACACTTTTGTTTAAACACCAAACAATTTGTAAAACCAGAAGCTGTATTAAAAAATATCCTGCAGTATTTTTACACTCTCCAGCACTACATTCAAGGACATGCTTGGCTCATGTGGCTTATTTTCCCTCTTTTCCCTTCTAAAACGGATTAACAGAGTGTCAGAAGGCTGCAGGTAACTTGTGACTGCTCCAACTCACGTGAAAAGCCTAAGTCTCTGTTCAGATAAATCAGCAGTAAATTCTCCAGGGTAAGTATCAGCTACTCTGGAATCTGTTCATCAGACAAAGAAACCTGTATGTTCCCACCAGATTTTGTTTTCAATGGCATTTGTGCTTTGGGAATGTTTTACAATGGGATCCATCAGAACTGTTCTTTAGACAGTCACACAGTAAAAATGGACAATGGGATCCATCAGAACTGTTCTTTAGACAGTCACACAGTGAAAATGGGGAGCTCTGAAAAAAGAAGAAGAATAAATCAGGGTAAACTCTGCAAAGATCACCAATGAAGACAGGCTGTAAACTTGTCAAAGTGGACTCAGCTGCCACCACGTGTCAGTTCCTGCTCCTCTGCTTCCTCCCAGCCCTGAGAAATGAAGCTGCAAAGCCACAGCAAGGAAAACATTCATCCATACATGAAATCCAGTAGAAAGTGGAATAATAATAATAATACAGCTGGAAGAAATAAGGTTTTCAGAAGTTACTGCTGATTTGTTTCTTTTTCAGGCTTTCAGCTAAGGATGTTTTAACCAGACAAGATCTCAAGGAGTGGCGGACCCCCAAATATAAAAATGGCACCCTGGAAAGGACCTCAAATTAATCATCTAACAATAGCAAAATGATTAATTTAATGGTTGTTATGTTGGGTTTTTTTCATACATACCACTACTATTAATATTCTTCTTGATCCAATCAAAACAAAAACTAACATTAGTGTATTCTCCTGGGTAGTGTATTCTTCCTTCCACATCTCAAGCCCCAGCTAGTAATTCCATGGAGAGCGTGAAACCCCAAGTTGTTTTCTGAGGAACATACTAATGGGCCTCCAGAATCACCCTGCACAAGGACAAAGGAACCTTGTCCCGAGCCAACATCACTCTTGCTGTTTTTAAAATCTCAGTTCAACAAGGAGAGGTCCCAGCTGCTCACGTGCTTGGAGCTTTCCATTTTTAAAAGACAAAGACACAACCTTTGTTCAAGGGAAGTAACTCTTTTTGCAATATGGATAATTCAAATTTGACTGCTAAGGAGCCTTTCACTGTGAATCACCACTGCCTGTTTGCAAGAAAACAGCTTTGGGGAGGTTTTATGCTTCCCTTTCTGGCCTCTAAGGGTAACTTACTGTGCATGAGTCCTTGCCTTCCTCCAGAGGGAATCCTGCAGATCATCCCCAGGGTCACTTTACTGGGAAGTTAATGTAATAGCTCTGACATATGTCAGGTGCCAGGATGGGGACTTCCAGCTGCTGCAGTTTTTTCCCCTTTTCTCTGTCTTGAATTAAAACACATAATCCAGTAGAGGCATGAATTAGTGGTTTCAGAAGAAGATTTTCCCTTCTCCTTTTCAAATGGCCTCAATCTAAATTACCTGATTTCTCTCCTCCCACCCATGTCCCTTCATGTCTAGCTGAGCTTACACAAGTGAAAACTTTCTAACATGTCTGTTCTGCAAAAACTAATGCACAGACGGGAGGACTGTTCCAGCACAGAATGTGGTATTTAAAACACAGGCACAACATGCCCACGCAGCAAAGACTGCATACCTGCTTCAGGTGCACCCCACCCTGTGACCACACACATCCTCGAGAGCTACAGCACCTCCTCCCCGGCAGGAGGCACGCTGGGAGCACGGAGGGGGTGAATTCCAAGGGCTCAGCCAGTTGCAGCCGGGCAGTGTCAGAGTCCAGAGTGGTCTCGTTAAAATTTGGGTGTATGAAATACTGCTTGATTGATCTTTTCTAGGAAAGCAAAGACATCAACGTTTTCTGAAAGACTTGAGAATGTGAGGCTTTAAGTTACTTTGGTTTTATAAATTTCCAAGATGCCTTAAGAAGGGGACACATATAAAAGCAGCTCCAGAAACCGCCAGCTTTCTGATATTAACAAGTCAAGATTATGCATCTTTGACATGGAACACGGAATGTGCAGAAAACTCCATCCAGCAAGGGTAAGAAGAGTGTCTTGGAAAAACATTTATCCAGTGTGAGCAAAGTCTCACACTGGACTAGTGCCCTAGTCTTTCTGTCTTGGTGACAGTCACCAGTGAGCACAGAGACAATACACCTCTCACTCCCACATCCTCTGGGGTACTGAGCTTTGGAGCTCAGTGAAGGCACAGGTCTGTGCTGACAGTCACACAAAAGCTGTTGTGTAAATGCAGATTGGGATCAGCGTTCACATTGTATTTGCAGGAACCCTCGTGTCAGGGAGGAGTGATGAATCTGACTCCATGTTCTCAGAAGGCTAATTTGTTATTTTATGATACTATAATATATTAAAGAATACTAAACTATACTATACTAAAGAATGCAGAAAGGGTACTTACAGAAGGCTAAAGAGATAATAATGAAACTTGTGACTCTCTCTCTCCAGAGTCCTGACACAGCCTGGCCAATGAGTCAAAATAACTCACACCAGAATCCAATGGAACAATCACCTGTGGGTAAACAATCTCCAACCACATTCCAACGGTGCAAGAAACAGGAGAAGCAAATGAGACAAAATTGTTTTCCTTTTCTCTGAGGCTTCTCAGCTTCCCAGGAGAAAAATCCTGGGTGAAGGGATTTTTCAGAAAATGTGAATACCACATGGTCAGGGCTGTTGGATTACTTCATCATGGAGAATTTGGGAATCACATTCACATTAAAAACTTTTGAAAGATTGATTTGTATTTCATTACTAAGCAGAGCACAGAGTACCTGTCTGTACTCTTACTCTGTAAGATCATAAAGTCCTTGTACCACCATCCATAACTCTCTGTATGCTTCCCTAAGGAAAAAAAAAAAATAGTTCATTCTCGGGCTGATATAACAGCAGTCCTGAAACCCATGAATCTTAAAACCTGCTGTGTTCCTAGCACACCTCTGGAAGAAT